CTAGGTCTGGAATATCAGCGTCCTGCGAGCATTCTATAACGTAGCGCTCTACGCTTTCTAGGCCTAGCTGTTTAACAAACTTGTAGTGCCTCTGTCGTACTAGAGTCTTCGTAAGTCCGTCTGCTGGCATGTCTGCAGTTGGACACCAGGCTACATGTAGACGCTGTTGCTGTATTTCTTGCCTTAGCCACATCTGATGTGTGTCAACGTGGCGCAGCTTTGTATGTAGCTTGTCCTCCTGCTTTGTTACTATACCTACTGTCTGCTGATTATCACAGTAGATAACAGGCTTCACATCTAGCTTGAACTTGATGTGATTGAACACTCTGTTCCACCACTCCATCTCTCCTCCAGCTACTGAAAGTGCTATAAGCTCTGCCTCTGTAGTTGACTTGTGACTGAGCGTTGACGTGTAGCCTTCCAATCAACACACATGCCGTACATCTTGAATAGATATCCATATGAGCTCTGCCTTGACTCTTCATCGTCAGCAAACGCTGCATCAGATGCTCTGTAGAACGGTGATAGATCGTCGATTTGGCTGATGTAAGTGGTGTTGTTCTTTGCTCTATTGCATGCTCTAATAGCCAGGTACTTAGTACCAATCAGATATCTCCAGACGTGCTTAGCTGCTGCTAAGTGCTTCTGTCCAGGATTCTGCAGATGCCTTGCTAGGACTGAGTGTGCTCGCGACACGTCAGGCCTTGTAAAGGTAGAGATGTAGGCTAGTGAACCCACTAGCTGCTGGTACAGCTGCGTACGTTCAACGCTTGCCTCCTCAACGCTAGGCAGCAGATAGCTGTCAGTCAGCGGTACTGCTGGGTATCTCCCTGATGTCTGAGCCAAGCCAAATCTGGCTGACACCTTGTCAATGAACGAGTCCTGGACTAGCCAAATAGTTCCTGCTGTCCAGTCTCTTACTATGCGTACACCCAGGAACCACTTAAGTTCTCCTAGGCACCTCACGCTATATGTTTCTTGAAGCTTTCTCTCAAACTAGCTGTGATGGCTGAGGTATTGCGGGTGCACAAGGACGACGATATCATCCACGTAGAAGAATACAATCAGCTGGTCACTGGTGAACAGACAGGGCACGTCCTGCACTGGCCTGAGGCCCAGTCTCGTCAGCGTGTCTCTAAGATGCCTGTACCAGAGTAGTGGCGCATCCTTGAGGCAATACAAGGCTCGTTTGAGCTCAAGTAGCTCTCCTATCTGGCCCACAAACAGCTCTGGTGTACGTACGTAGACTAGCTGTTCGAGAGGTGCGTTCAGGAAGGCATTCAACACATCATACTGATATGCGTGCAGGCCAAACGCAGCAGTTATTGCTATTAGCAGGCAGAACACCCTTGCTGCTAGTGTCGCTGCATACGTGTCTCCCCAGTTATCCTGGAGGTCTCCTCTAACGACTAGCCTTGCCTTGTACTTGTACAGGTAGCCGTCTTCGTCAAACTTGTATGAGAACACCCACTTCAGAGGGAGTATCTGTGCGTTGGCTGCTGTAGCTGTTGTAGCTGCTGTAGCTGCCGTAGCTGCCGTAGCTGCAAAGCAGCCTTTATCTGTACAGCTAGCGAATCCTGCACGTGCTGCATCCCTGAAATCGTGTCCAAATGGATGCTTGTCTAGGTCTCTCCAACGTTGTGGAGGTGGTGGGAGCTTGTCCCTGTGTAATCGTGTGCTTGGCTCTTCGCTGAGCAGTTTCCTAGGCTCTGATGAGTTGACAGCTATAGCAAATGCTGTGTAGTATGCACCTAGCGTACGTCACTGTCTTCGTGATGTCAGAACATTTAATGCGTCAATCTGGCTACTGATTTCTTTCCGCCTTGGTGTGTTATTCGATCGGCGATCAGGAGCATCTGCGTCAGGTGCTAAAGCTTGCCAGCCTCGTGGCAGCTCGTTCTCCTGACTGCTCTCTGACTGTTCGTTTGGCTCAGGCGTGCTCTCCAGCGTTGGTAGCCACCTTGCTGTGCTTTCCTTGTCCAGCTGCTGCTGTCCCGCAGCCTCACTGAGGAGCTGTTCCTGAGCTTGTTCTGCTTCTGACTGTCTGTGCTCTACGTCATCAGCGTCACGCACAGCCTCATTAGTCTCTTGCTCATCGTCCTTAGCCTTAGGAATATTAAGAGTAACCACTATCTCCCGCAGTCTCTGACAGCTGGGGTAGGCTTCCTTAGTCCTATTCTCAGGTGGTAGGAACATCACGTCTCGCGTTTGTATAACTAACTACAGCGTAGGCATCCATACCTGATAGATATTCGTCAAATCATAGCCTACGAGCTGGCCTATGAGCGCTCTCGATGCTAGCTTCTCACCGCGCATCAGTTTAGTATTCAACGCGTACGCTCAAGCACCAATAGCTGCTAAATAAGCTACTGTTGGCTTGCGTTTGTGTACAACCTCATAAGGCGTCTTCCAAGCTAGTGCTTCTGTAGGTGTTCGATTGAGCAGGTAAACAGCTGTCATGCAGCACTCGTTGGACAGCTCCATAGGCAGGTCTCCGCCTATCCTGATAGCTCGCCCCCTCATGACTATGGTGCTGCCAGCTCGTTCTGTCAGCCCATTCTGTTCCTCAGTATACTCAGCTCGGGGCTCTACTACAATGCCAAGTTCTATGAACATCTGTAGCATCTCACTGTATCCTCGGTCGTTTTCAAGCCTCACAACTGACACATCAGCGTGGTACTGACGCTTGATCTTCGCTAGCAACCTTTAAGCTGTACGCTTGAGCGTTGCTGAGGACTTGTCTGGCAGGCAGCAGGCCTCGTGCCAGCGACTGTACTGGTCAACTGCATGGAACATCCATAGGTCTCCGTTGTAGCAGCGCTCTGTCCTTTCACGCAGCTGTACAAGGTCAACACCTAGTCTGTAGAATGGACGCTCAGCTGGCTCCCGTAGTGGTCTTCTGCTCACAAGCTTATGTAGCTTTGACTGTACACACGTCTCACACTCTTTCCACTAAGGCGCCTTAGGCTGTTCAATAACCTTAATGCCATCTACCTGGCTGTCAAGCTGAGCGACTGCTTTTTTGACTGATGTGGCCAAATAGTCTGTGAGCCTCCTCTTGACTAACTAATAGTGGCTTCCTGTTGTTACTTGATGGCTTGGGGACGGTATAGCGCGTTGCATATACTGACAGCAGAGCTGGCGGCGGCGCCTGCTCCTTCTCGTCATCAATTAGCCAGTGCCCATCCTGATACTGCAGCAGGCATATTACGTTTGACTGCTCGCCCTGATACAGGCAGTCACGGCCAGAGTCGAAGTGAACTCCTAGAGGCCTGCTACGCGACAGTCCTACAACGCTTGTGAAGAAGCCCGGGATATAAGCCACGTACGTCAGCTTCATCTGGCTCTGTCCTGTTGGCGTCTTTACGCTGAGCACTACTTCGCCCCATTCTTCTATCTGGGCTAGCACTCCTCCTGCGTAGACGTAGTCTGTAGGCTCTCCCTTCTTGATAGTAGTCCAGTTCAATCCTCTGGTGTTTGTGACGTGACAGTTCGAACCTGGATCTAGTATCCACCTAGTGAGCAGTGGCGGCTGAGCTTGGTTAGCTACAGCTGTAGCCTGCAGCATTGCGTTGCAGTGTGTTGTGCTTTGAATTGGCTGGCCGTCATCCATACTGATTACTGACTGTTTCTTAACGCCCCCTGACAGCTTGTTCTGCTTCCTTAGCTGAGCTTCTGTGCGTCGGAGCACTCTAGCTACAGTGCTATCAGCCTTACGCAGCTGATTAAACTCTTTTTTAATTGCCTTGTCTGGCTGCCAGTTTAGCTGCCTTAGACTGTGGTTGACGTAAAGACAGTCTTTAAACATGTGACTATCTCCGCAGAGGCAAATTACGCGTTGTGCAGATCCTCTTGGGGTTATCGGGCCGTCTAAGCTCTCTGCTACACCCAACGTCGCAAATGTGCCAATAGATGAGGCAATTGGGCGTGTGCACCGATAGTAGGACCGAAATTCAGCCACAAGATTAGTAGTTGACTTGTACTGCTCTCCTTGGTGGTCCTTCTTGACAAGCTCCTGCAGCTGCGTAGCTGCCCAGCTGTCGTCAAGTCCCCTGATCGACAGTATGAAGTCCTCTTGCGCTCGATTGCCGTCAACTTCTGGCATCTTGGCTTCTCTCAGGAGTCTGGTAATTGTCACCCACTCATCAAGCCACGTGTCCAGATTCGCTTTCCTTGGCCTCGTACAGACAGCTCTGTAGCGGCTGCGTAGCTGGTGGTTTCGCTCACCTACTGATGGACAGAGGTGCTTCTTCAGCGTTGTCAATCGACTGTACGGGCTTGAGCAGTCGATAATAAGATCTAGATGCTTGACGTTGATCGTTCTAGCAATCTCAGAGTTGAAGCTCCTCAAGGCCTTCTCTTTCTGCAGCCATCTTGCCTCGTCACGCTCGTACTTCCTAGTCCACACGTTGTATACAGATATCTCTTCAGCAGATAGATCCTCGATATCAATATCTTCCTGCTCTTCCTCAGATACCTGTGTCTTCTTGAACCTCCACAAAGGCTTCTCCTGTGGCTTCTCGTCTTGTAGCTTCCTCAGCTCCTCTGCTGATAGCCCTGGGTCAACGTACGGCCACAGGCCGTCTCTGTCTGCTGTGTCCTTTCTGACAAACAGCCATCTCTCCCAGTCATCAGGCTTGCTGAGTATAACTGTCGTCTTCGTCACTAGCTGGTCCTGCTCATACGTACTCATGACGCTCTGCAGTGTCTGCTCTGTGTGACGCTTTAGATTGGGTTTCGTGTTAAATAGCAGTCGGCTGTCTTGACAATACGATCTACTTCCAGTCGTACAGGTTGTAGATAAATGGGTGAACGCAGCGATTAACTGAAGGCTTCCGGGCTCATAACTGTTGCGGCAAACGTAGCCGCTGTATATCGATGGAAAACTGCGCTGAGTTGCTTGCTAGCTAGGAGGCGACCATATATACATGCCCTGAGACGTGCTAGTCCAAGGTAGTCAACGGAGGTGACGATCGAGGCCTGTCGGACCGACTTGCACCGCAACAAATTTGAAGTTGTCGACTACGACTCTATCGACAGCCTCGAAGCTACTTTCCGTGGCCAAGATGCAATAGTGTCGACTGTCAGCATGGAAGCTATCCCTGGTCAGAAGCTGTTTATCGATGCTGCCATCAAGGCCGGGGTCAAGCGCTTCATTCCATCTGACTTCGGAGCTTTGACTACGGATCCAAATGCCCTGTCGATGCAGGTTAAGGCCAGGGGCCAGCATTATCTCGCTCCGTTAGAAGAGGATACCCTCGTTGCCTACTTGCTGCACGTGTCTGACAACGGCTTCCCCGTGCCGATCTCAAGGCATGGAGAATCAAGGCGCTCGACTGGAAGCGGCATGACGACAACATCTACGACAGGATAACGTGTTGGTTTGACACGCTCTGGAAGGGGCTAGACAGCGTAGACGTCGCGCCGGATATTGTGTAATGAAACGGAATTCTTGCACTGCATTGGCTTTGCTATTATTCTACAAGCTCCACGTGCACCGTCCAACTTCAGCGTTTTTCAATTTACTACGTGGCACTCCCGTTGCCTCGATACGTTCCGAAGTCTCTAATAACTCAAAGACATATTGTATCAGGCATTGCGGCGGTACGTCGTAGTATTGTTCGCCATGCGTGTTGTGTCAACGCCAAAGAATTGCTGTTGACTTTTAGCATGAACCCGTGCACTTATCGAACTGGCTATCTCACCAGTGAATCGTTCATATTCTGGTTCTTGAAACCTCCGCCAGCGAGTCTTGTCTTTGTTTTCTGACGATTCAGTACGTCGCTCTATCACGATGTAAGCCAACATCCGAAGCCGGTTGTTTTAAGTCACTCCTACCTGCTCAATGGTCTCTTCCATCACATATCTCACGCAGACTACTTGCTTGGTCTGCCCAATACGCTGCGCTCTTGCCATCGCCTGTAGTTCAACAAAAGGGTTCCATTGTGGTTCGAGCAGGTATATGTGTGTCGCAACGGTCAAATTAAGCCTAGGTTTGTTAGTGCTTGCAATGCCTTCTCCAGCATATGTGTATGTACAAACCCCTCAGCGCCTGTGCCCAGTGTCATGAGGAGGATATTAGAACCCATGAGAGATTTGAAGTCTTTCAAGACTTTTTGCCTCTGTTTCGAGCTTAGGCCTCCGTGCATCATGCTATGTTTCAATCCAGCTTGGGTGAGAAGTCCAGCCGCGAGGTCTAAGGTTTTCTTCCAGGCAGAGAAGACGATACTAACGATTGTTGTAAGCTTCTGTGACCTACTGCAACTGGAGAAACTCACCATTTTTCCCTATGCGTTTGTTTAATGTCGTCGAGAAGAGCCAACAGTTTGGATGGGTGAGGGCGCACAACTTCGTTGGCCGCACTGTTAAGCTTTACGGTAGTGACATGAGTGGTAAAATCAGATGTGGGATGGCCCTTTGTACAGAGTAGACAACGTGTATCTTTCTTTTTCTCCACACATTGAGGCCAGCAGCTGTGACAGACCAGATGCCTGCATGGTCGGATAAACATACCTCGATTTTGACCCTCCTCTTTGTCGATGCAAAAGATGATGGTCCCGCAATTGGAGCACGCGTTCTCTTCAAGCTGCAGCAGATAAGAGAGCGTCTCATCGTCTGACTCGTGGGGTTCATCCTGTCTCCTTCTCAGGCCATTGTTGCAGAAGAGTCGCAATTCGTGGATGGACTGGAGGGTAGTAGAGGCATATCTTCCGTTTCCACTAACCGCGATCTGGATCTGTCGCTTATAGTGCTCGTATAGGTCAGTGTACTGATGGCGCTCCTCATCGGAGAACCTGATGGACCGTGGGTGGGTTATCGGCTGAGGTAGGCCAAGGATATCCCGGGTTCGCCGAAGGCAGATGGTTCTCAGTAGTGTCTGCAGATTTGCGAACTGATTTCCCCGATCACTCAGCGTTGGTGTGATGATGTAGGTGCGAAAATTCGACATGCGCGCTAGCTCTCTGAGTCGAAGGAAAGCGACCAGGCTGCCCAAATCTTCGAGGCGATTCTGAATGGGCGCTCCGGTAAGACACCAACGCCGCTGCGCCGGAAGTTGTTGGACCGCCCTGAACATCTTAGTATTTTGATTCCGTATCTTATGGGCTACGTGATGTTCAGTCAGCGAAGGAAGAGATAACTACTACACAGCATGGGTCATACCTTCATCTAATACAATGCGAAACCAGTGAATCTTTGACAGGGGTGACGGGCTTTTCTTGGTGTCTTCCAAGGCGGTGGCATATGTGGTCAAAACAATATCCTTCTTAAATAACAAGTTTATTTCTGCATGGCGTTCCGTACTGAGGTGTTTGTGGAATGTTACTTTATGCGGAAACGTGTGTCTGTGAGCGTTAGTGGGACAGTCTGCAGGCGTGAGGTGAAGAGCTTACGTCCGGATCTCATCGATCCAATTATCGATCAAAGCTAATACAGTCAGCATTTTCTGTAATCGCAGTGGATTCTAGCTCAGAATAGTTACTGGTGGATGGGACGACGATCAAGGTCGCCGGCGAGTGCTTCGGGATATCTGATAACGCTTCTGCATTTGCTGGTTTGATCGAGGCAAACCTCTCCGCCTCCTGCAGAGAGCTGGCAATGGCCGATAACATCGTCAACGACTTGCCCAATCCCATGTCGTCTGCAAGAATACCTCCACTAGCCTCCCGACGCTCGGTTGCCTCGGACTTTGTAAGTTTATGCTGAAAACTATCATGTAATCAGTTCTACGATTCCTAAGGTAAGAGCAATATCAGCTCATACTAGGTTTCACCATTTCTACGCTTTTCTCGCCAAAAGGTAAGCTCTGCAGAAGGTCTACTGCTTTCCCGCTGTGCTATGAAGTCTAGCGCCATCATCTGGTGTCTACAATATAGATCAATATACACTTATCAACTTGAGCTCGGTGGTACTTGCCTCATGAGTGTGCTCTTGATGCGGTTAGTATCGGTACGGATCTCGTGTAGTATATTCGTGTGAGAGAGGGAGTCGAGAATTTGTTCAACATGGTTTTGAGAATTTGGGCGCGGCTTTGCATTGCTCTGAGCCGGTCGATCTAGGACGACAGCAGGCGTTGGTGTACCCTCCGGCTCAGTCATTATGTCGTCAGGTTTCTCAAAGGGTCCCTCAATATGAAGCATCTGAGGGTTATAGTAGGTCTCTCCACCAGGATTGTGAGTCGGGGATTGCAAGCGAATTCCAGACCGAAGCAGGATGTTGCCGACCTTGTCAGCATGGTTTCTCAGGCTCTTCACGTTCACGTCGACGGAGAACGTCACTGTTGCATTTACACATGATCTCGATGCCCTCGCAGCTTCTTCCCAACATCCTCGTTTCAAGTACGCCTGAAACCTGACTTCAAGTCCCACGAGTCGGCGAGCTTCGCTACAGAAGGCTTTGTCGAGACGTGCAAATGCGTGTCCGTTGCTGAGAAGCTCAAAGTAATCGCCTTTTGGAAGGATCTCGAAGGGAATATCGTGCTGGTCTGTTTCGGGAGGATACGTCAGGCGGATGAAGTCGCATACTTCACGTCGAGCCTGTGCGTTCACGTCGAGAACCTGTAAAGAACTCAGAACGATGATCTGATCTGAATGCATTGGCCTTACCGAGCCCAGTAGACACAACGGCTCATCGATCGGCGTGGCTTCACGAGCATGTTCTTGTTGCGTGTAGTAAGACATATGTGCATGATCGTCTCCGAAGGGATAGGGCCGTTTTAAAGTCATGTGGCTGTATGAAGGTGCGTTCATCGCGTTCATTTGCCTACCTCGGTACGCGAGATATGCAAGGTTCTTAGTCGAAGGATATGGTGTCGAAACTGTTCGTTCCTTGGTGTTGTTAGAGTGACCTGATAATATGGATATGCTGGTATCAGGGGGCGCAGCGAAGGAACGAAAACCTCTCGTTGGTAAATCCCTGGTCGCTGTGGCAGTGCTGCAGTTGGCGCTAGGTAGACCTTGGCGAAGGAGGACTCTCGAGAACCGCGCTCTGCCTTGTGCACAGACGAGGCCGAGCAACCTTGCGCTCAGATCACTCAAGGCAATGCTCAGCTTGTGAAGTTAAGCCCAGTGGACGTTTGCCATCTTTCACCTTACACCACTTCAGGCACAATGATTACACAGGTGATCGAAAGTCGTTATACAGTGGAGTATGATGTCTTGGTCGCTTTCCTCAGTTCGATGTTTGAGCAAGCCACTTATGAAATCGTTGTACGAATGTGCTTCCCACAACAAAGGAACGAGCGATGCTGATCGACCCGATACAGGTACCCGACGAAGGAGAGAAGTGGAAAGTCAAGGTCCCAAGAGAGCTCACTCGTGTAAGCATTTTCAGAAAATTATTGCGTGTGGCAGTTGCGCTGACCTGAATAGGATGAGCTTGTAGACTTGCAAAGGAAGTTCGGGCAGGCACTTGCCTAGTGGCGGGGTACCGTAGCTGGGGAAAAAACAAGTGTCGCCCTCGTTAGCTAGGCAGCTAGGCAGGGAACTCAAACCAACCCCACCAGCACAGCAAGGCACCCTCCACCTCCCAAGTATCTAGGTAGCTCAAATTACAGAAACCTTTCGCTCCTTTCTCAGTGCCCATTTGAATGGATTTCACTGGGTGGAGCAACTTCGACAGCCGAAGTCCATCGGTCGAGCCTGACAGCTGGAGTGCGGCGGAGCGGCTACAGCCTACCGGTGAAGGATCCAGTCTCGCTCGCTATAAATGAAAGACGGGCAGATCACCTAGCGAAAATCGTTAAATGTGTTCATCACGGTTCCCTAGCAATGATGATTGGAAGAGGTACCCTCAAAATCTTTGTCTCGGCTCACTCGAGTCGGATGCGTCTCGCAACAATACCAGGATAAGCCGGCTTAGTAAAGATCTGTTTGTCGCGAATGACGAATCCACATTCGAGTTTATAGCCATCGATACACCAAACAATGGCAAGGCTTCAAGGTTTAGATCTCAATGGGAGCGCTATTAACGGATGAACAGATGACGGACACGATGTATTGACACAGCAGATTCAAAGCACGGAAAGCTTGAATGCAGTCATGGAACTTAATCCGATGACTTCAGTGGTGTCAGTATAAAGCTTCTATGAGTCGAGCGAAACCTAATGCGCAATAGTTTCATTGACCAAAGCTACACGTGGAGTCGCCTCCGCATTAGTGAGGAACACTTTCGACGACTGTTCACACAAATGGCTGTGCACCCTAACTTCCTAGATGTGGTCCGCTTGTTTTGCGAAAAGACGGGCCCTGTGGAAGAAGGCTTCAGCTCGCTGTTCATTCACATGTCTGAGCGAGATCATTCCAGAGATCTCTCAACGCCAGGCCGAGATTGCAGCTATTGTACTTACCCTGTAATCACCTTGGGGGATATCGCTAAGCCGTCTTTAAGATATCGGATATAACATCAAGTATGTCGCAAAACACGGCCGACGCTATCCAACGGACCCGTTCTCAATCAGAGAAATTGGTGTCTACCAGCACTTTTCATCGTCAGATCGACAGTGTCGGTGGGTATTCTTGCAAGCTCCGGACCAGCTCAAAAATCGATTGAGGCATAATCTCGGGTGCTTTGATAATGACCTGCCTATGAACCAGGTTTTACAGCACTCGATGTTACTCCTGGAAGTGTCTGAAGATTGGCGTGAATATCTGATGTATCTTGAGGAGGAGTTCTCCAGAATAGTGAGTATAGGAATGTGCAAGCGAGAACTAAATTGATTAGTCGCATAGGTTGATCGAGGCTTCTTCACTTACGTTAAAGAGCTTCATACTGAAGGGGACGTGCAAGCCGACTTTTCAGATCTTAGGAAGCTGCACATCCTGACTGACAAGCTACTGAGACTATGTCGCGGTGTAGGAACAGCGCATATGCAGAAGGAATTGAAGGATTGAACTGAGGTTGTATTGTATGTAGCTATGGACTGTTGTTATAGGGGAATAGCGGTGAGGTGTAAAAGGAAAGGGCAGGGTGTACTACGTTGTACAGCAGTAGAGATATGAAACTGTGATACGTGGTACAAGAGAAAAGACTCCAAAACCGTGACACACCCCCTAGCTGCCGTAGGCTCAACAGTAGGGAGTCGACGACAGCTAATCAATATTGATTCAATGGATGATTGATAGCATCTAAGCTTTGTTGGTCTGACGTAGGCCTTTCAGGCGCTCAGTGATGTTGACGAGACTAAGTTGGCGGACAAACTCCGCAAACTTCTGCTTGGGTAGAATTTTTGTAAGTCCATCAGCAGGCATATGATCAGTAGGTACCCATTTGACGTTAATGCGTGAGGCGGTGACCTCCTGTCAAATCCAGAGCTGGTGAATATCAACGTGTTTAACCTTTGTGTGAAGCTTGTCGTGCTCCTTTGTGACAATACCAACAGTCTGCTAGTTATTGCACCAGATCGTAGGCGTGCAGTCGAGCGTGAGGTTGATTCCAGCAAAAAATCGCATCCACTCTTCCATCTGGGAGGCGGCAAGAGAGAGCGAGAGCAGTTCAGATTCTGTAGTTGATTTTGTGACTGTGCGCTGTACAGTTGATTTCCAGTCAATCATAAGTCCTCCAAATTTGAAGGCGTAGCCTTGAGAGCTCTGGCGAGTCTCAGGCTCATCAGCGTATGAGGCGTCGGATGATCCAAAGAATAGAGGATCGCGGTATGTGGGATCGTCTGTGAGATACTCGGCCATGTCGTGCGTGCTGGCAGAGGCTTCAAGAGCGAGAGCCTTCGTGCTGAGCAGGTAGCGCCAGGTCTGGCGGATCTTTGAGACGTGAGACTGTCCTGGGTTGGTGAGGTGGCAGGCAAAGACGACGTGCGTTCGAGCGACGTCGGGTCTGCCCCAGACAGCAATATATGCAAGAGAACTAACAAGCTGCTGGTAGAGTTTTGTACGAGCAGTGTCAGTCTCCTTGGTAGACTGCGGTAGCTAGTTCTCCGTCAGTGGGACGTCTGGAGCCTTGCCTACAGCATCAATATTGAATCGAGCGCACACCTTGTCGATGAAAGCGTCTTGGACTAGCCAGGTCTTGTGCAGGGCTTGGTCGCGGACGATTTGGATGCCGAGAAACCAGGCAAGGTCTCCCATAGCTTTGATGTTGTAGAGGTTCACCAGGTCCTTCTCAAAAGACCTGTGGAGATGGGCGTTTGATTGATGGAACGCCATTACGATATCGTCAACGTAGACGAAAAGGATGAGCCAGCGGTTCGTGTATAAGCATGGGAAGCCGTCAACTGGCTTTAGTCCCAGCTTGACAAGCTCTCGACGTAGCTCATTGTACCATAGGATTGGTGACTCCTTCAGGCCGTACAAGGCGCGGAGCACGAGCATTATCTCGCCTTCAGTGTGGCGGAATGCCTCAGGTGTTTCAGCATATATCTTACGCTCAGTTTTTGCGTTCAAGAAGGCAGTAGGAATGTCATACTGCTTCAGTTCAAGATCAAAGTAATTGGCGATTGCAATGAGAGCGCGAAAGTTGCAGATGGCGAGTGTAGCAGCGTACGTATTGTCTAGCAGGGCTTAAAGGTCTCCTCGGACAACAAGTCAAGCCTTAAACTGTGAGATATACCCATCTCTGTCTGTCTTATAAGTGAAGACCCACATCAGCGGCAGTACCTCGCTGTCTGCAGTAGCCTTTGATTGCTCTGTGTGTCCAAAGACACCTTTAGCGCGTAGGTCTCGCCATTCAATTTCCATTGCGCGTCGAAATTGATTGCCAAACATGTGTGTATTGAGCTGCTTCTCTAACTTTGGCAGTGGCGGTAGCTGTGTCTGATGGATTCGTGGCACTTCATCCGCTGTTGTGGATATCGAGTGAATCTCTGTCGAGAATGCTCGCAGGTAATTGACAAGAGGCTCAGGTCCCAGCCTCGCAGCGTAGACCTGTACAGCAAAGTTGTTTAGATCTCTCGGCTTTGGATTGCGCTTGCCAGAGACAATCAGGTTTGTATCAGTTGGATCAAGATTAACGTCCCGTGGCGCTCTCTCGCCTCGTCGGCGATAGCCCTTAGGAACTATATGTATTGTGTCGTCCTCCTCTAATAGTGTAGGAGTCGGAATTTGTTGTTGAGTTGATTCAGGTGTGTTGTTAGCCTCGAGTGCGTCGTCAGTCATTTCACCCCCCAACTGGGAGTCTCCAGCTCTCGAAGCTGAGGTCACAGGTGCTGTTTGGCGACGGCGTTGGTGAGCGGTTAATAGATCCTCAATGCTAACATCGTCGTTCTGTGGCATCTCTGGATATTCGAGTAGCTCGATCACCTCCTCGATCACTGGTGTAGAGGCGTAGCCATCCATTCCATCAAAGAAGAGCGTAGGCTCGAATACGACGTCGCGTGTGACGATGATAGTATCCCTTGTAGGCAGCCATATGCGGAAGATATTAGTGCCATGGTAGCCAACAAGGTGGCCAATGAGAGTGCGCGATTCAAGCTTGTCGGCAGCTCTCAGGTTGCGGTTGTAGACGTAGGCGCGGCATCCTATAGGTCTCATATGAGCGACGAGTGGTTTTCGTCCCCATACGACCTCGTACGGTGTCTTCCAGTCTAGTGCTTCGGTGGGCGTGCGATTGAGGATGTATGCGGCGGTGCGATACATCTCATGCGCTAGAGTTTTGGGCAGGTGAGCGTGAATACGCATAGCGCGAGCTCGCTGAGTGAGGACTCCGCCTGCGCGCTCAATAAGCCCATTTGGCTCCTTTGTGCCAGCTGGTGCTGGCTCGTATAGCATGCCCAGCTCTTCTGTAGTGTTGATGAGATCGTTGCCAAATCCTTTCTCGTTGTCGCATCGGATGGCGACTACGTCGGCGTTGTACGCGCGTTGGATTCGACGGATCAAGGCCATGAACCAGCGTGTGAGCGTTGGCTTGTCCTTTCGCTTGATTGTGGCTATTTCATGCCACTTTGAGTATTCGTCCATAGAGTGGAGGGCGTACTTGCTGCCGTCGATACACTCCTCTCCCACGGGGATAATGTAGATCAGGTCTATCGCAATTCGATAGAATGGTCGTTGTGCGCGGCTCTCAGCCGGGCGTCTTGAGATGATGTGAGTCATTCGAGCTTCGGTGCAGGTTTGGCAGAGACAGTCCATGTGGTCTCCTGTCAGTTGGACGCCAGTGACGTTTGATTCAAGCTGGTCGACTGCCTTTTGACCTGGGTGGCCCCAGATTTGATGAGCATCGCGTCGATCGACGACGTTTGCAGGCTTTGGCGCGTACGATGGGCGATATGATGCCCCAAACGTACTCAGCGGTGAGTGGAGAAGCGACAGCGGCGGTCGGCGTGATGGCTCGGCATCAATCAGCCAGTGTCCTCCATTGTATTCAAGTTGTGCGATGACGTTGGTCGGTTGATGCATGTACAGGACGTCGCGGCCAGAGTCGAAGTGGATCGACTCTGATCGGCAGCGAGCGAGTCCCAAGACGCTGGTTAAGAAGCCTTCGACGTACGCGACGTGCGTTAGCTCCAGCGTCAGCTGTCTATGTGGTGTACGGACGACGAGTTCCATCGTTCCCCACGCGGTGATGAGGATACAGGTATTGCCAGCGTTAATAGAACGACGTTGTGGATTGTCACTCGTCCTCCTCCAGCCTTTCCATACCTCTGTGTTGACGACGTGCGTATTGGATCCTGGATCGACAATCCATCGATTGCGTAGTTCAGTCTGAGTGATTTCATCGACAGCCATTGTCGTGAGAGATACCGTAGGCTCAGTGTGAGCGTCAATAGCAATGACGACCTCATCATCGTGGTCAACTTGATTGTGCCTGTCGTGACTGCTGTGGCCGTTGTGGCCGTTGTGGCCGTCGTGGAGAGGCTTGAGTAATGGGCCAGTCGATATCACGAACGAGTCAGTGTTGACAGGTGGCTCGCCGTCATCGACTCGCAGTGATCCAGTGTTCTGAGGTTGGCGGGTCAACCATCTCGCAAGAGCAGCCTTGATGCGCGCGTTGATCTTAGAGTCCTTCCGCGCTTCCTCAACCTTGCGTACGGCCTCAGCTGCAGGCTGATAGGTCTTCGGACGTGCCGGGTGGCGTGGATTCAGGATGAAGCAGTCAGTGTACCAATGCTGCTTCCCACATACGCAGGTAGGAATTGATCGTGCACCGTCACGGTGACCGCGACCAGTCGATTGAGTCTCAGTCGGCTTCGTGATTCCGAGCTCAGCAGCAGAGACTGCCAGGCCTGTAGATTGAGGCTTCGTGCGGCGTAGGTATGTGGTCATCTCAGCGACGTATGTCTCAAGAGATGAGATCTCTGCAGTAGTGCCACGCGCTTCATGTTTGAAGATCTCGCGTAGGCAGGACGTAGCATATTCCTGATCCAGAGCCTTGCAGGCGATCAGAAAGTCCTCTTGCGGTCGGTTGCCGTCAGTTTCCGGCAGCGTGATTGATTTGCCTTGGGCGGTGATGTATACCCAGTCAGTGAGCCATTGCTCGATCTTCTTTGCAGCTCGTGGAGCAGTCTTGAGAGTGTTGTACTTGTCAGCAAGCTCGCGGCGGCGAGTTGCGTCAGTTGGGCAAAGGAACTTCTTAAGAGCGACCAGTCGGTCGTAGGGTGTCTCGTGATCCTTGATTAGGTGGATGTGGCGTACAGCAATCGTCTTGCTGATGTCTGTGTTCAGGTCGGCTAAGGCCTTCTTCTGGGTGCGGTACTCAGAGCGGCGGCGCTCCCATCGATCACATTCCCATCGGTAAGACTCTCGGTCGTCTGCAGTCAGGTCAGAGAGCCTAGTAGCTCCAGCCCGGTAGTCGATGAGTTGAGGCTCAGTAGCCTCCGTCAGCTCAGGGAGAAGCTCCCTAGCTACGTCAGGATTGATGTACTGCCAGAGACCGTAGCGGTTGGCAACGTCTCGGCGAATGAACAACCAGGTAAACCAGTCGTCAGGTGTGTTGAGTATAACAGTGACACGCGTCACTGCGGGATCAGACTCAGCAGCCATTGCAGAGGCTGTAGTCGTGTATGAATGGATCCAGGCAGAGATCCAGGCAATGTGCGTCGTGGGTGGACGCGGTAACAGGTGCGCTGTGGTAGACGCGGTATAGCAACGTGCGACTCAAGTAGAGTGACGATTGCAGCAGCAGGTGAGAACAATCCTAGGTTGCAGCCGGGCTCATAACTGTCGCGGTGTAGGAACAGCGCATATGCAGAAGGAATTGAAGGATTGAACTGAGGTTGTATTGTATGTAGCTATGGACTGTTGTTATAGGGGAATAGCGGTGAGGTGTAAAAGGAAAGGGCAGGGTGTACTACGTTGTACAGCAGTAGAGATATGAAACTGTGATACGTGGTACAAGAGAAAAGACTCCAAAACCGTGACAGACTAGCTCACATACTGAAGTTAAACATTCGACTCGGTTGTCAGCTACGAAGTGGGATGTTAGACCTTAAGATGATCTCCTCTTCAGCTTTGCAAATCAGCTTCAATGAAATGCAAGGTAGACTAGACAGATACGTATATGGACAAGAGACGAGTTTGGCCAGGATTGAGACACTCGTTGCACGTTCTGCCGGAATCGGCCAACTTGTGAGCACTTGTCTGCACTTTGACTACGACATTGCTGACATTTCACACACAGGTTCAAGGTATACAAGACTTCAGATCGAACGAAGCGAGCAAGCATATCAACTACGAGATGCAAAAATTGACGGAACAGGGGATCAAAGAGAACGGACTGATAAAACGACTCACGGAACAATCTACAAAGGATACCCGGTCTATGATGACAATCGCCTTGATCTCTGCTATATTCTTACCTGCGACCTTTCTAGCAGTAAGTCGCTCCTGCTCATCAGCTGACCACGTCTTGTGACTGATTGAAAGCTAGACCTTATTTGGATCCAATTTCTTTGCTTACTCTGAGCGTGAGAATGCTTTGACCGTTGCATCAAACTTCTGGGTGTATATAATCATCACAATCGCATTCTCTGGATCAGCAGTGACTCTTTGGTTTATCTGGAGGCGGCGCGGACTGCGCGAACCAACGTCGGACGAAATTGATGCACCCTGAAGGGGCAGGATGTAATGTAGCTGTAGGCGTTCGGTCCTCTGGTACACCGTGGACATACCACGGACTGATTAAAGATAGCCAGTTATGTCGAAAAAGCTCCGAGCCAAGTTCTTCTCACTGTGTACATTGCTCATGGGCTTTCTTGATGATTAACTTCAAAGATATCAGATCATCCAATACGTAATTACAATTGTATAAGTCAGCACGACACCAAGCTCACCATGAAGTATCTCCTTTCTGCTTCAACTAATGCTCCCGACATTCAACATTGGATTTCAACGTGTAGCTCCTTTTAATCTCATTCTGATGTGTCTTATTGTATCTTTAGCCACTGTTGGGATATGACGTAGAACAGCGACATCACGGCTCAGCAATGGTCATTAAACGCCTCAGCGGCGCGCAAGTGGCTTCTTCAAAAGGACAGGTCGGGTAGCAGACATGATAGGGATTGGTTCGGTTACTGCAGGCTGATTCCCAACATCTTGGCAGAGGCACTCATTGGTCTGCTAAGACAGTTACGAGGGAACAAGCAAGCATTGTGCCGGCCACATCAGCACGAAGGCTGACAGGTAATCCACCTAGGCAAATCACCTAGGCATGTTTTGTACGAGGCTGGAGACAAAGACACGACCAATCACCCGTGTTCAAGTGATGCGAGTGCGCAGTTGTCAAAGATTTTCAGTTGGAGACGGACGCATATATATATGTCTCCTCATATTTGCTGAGCCGTAATTCGAAGAATTTTACGATGCCCATGCAGTCACGTGTAAAACAACACGTGCGCTGTACGCCTCGCAGATGTTTCATCAGCTGACCAGCACACACATTACGAGTACCCAGGCTTACTTACTGAAAGCACTCATCGCGGCCGAGCAGCGATACAGCACTAAATTCAGGTCTCAATGCTTGCAGCTACAGTGGTGCTTCAATGACGGTTGCCCTACGAACCTCGTGCTTCCAGCAGACCTAAAGGCACATTTCCGTTCCCGTCTCCCAAAAGCACTTCCCTCAGCAGAGAAGGGTTGGCTACGGAAGTTGCGTCACGATCTGATTGGTTGAGCGGCAAGCCACGCTTGGAAGCTCCTGGCAATTGGGGCCCTGATGTGTAAGCGCTGTCATCGGTCTCAAAACCACTTTACGGCCTAGCGATATTGAAGGAACCAAGGAAGAAGCGCCTCTTGGATTCTGAAGTCAGCACTGGCGTTACCGTAGCCGTCGTCATATTGGACGGACGTAGTGTCGGCTTCACAAGCTACACAAGATTCTGCCTGAGACAACCTCGCAGACGATGCAGTCGAGATTTGTCTTCCTGGCCGATGTGAGGAATCGTTCTAGCTGCATAGATGAGGACCAGTAAGATGCAGTAACCTTATGCAATCGTTATCTCTCACCAACACCTTCGCATCGGGTCCTGAAAAAACGCGACTTCTCATTAGCCAGAGATGCCAAAAATCAAGTCAATCAATCAATCTGCTTGATCACGGACCCAAATATGGTGCATGCACTGTGTCACGGACTACAGAATGGTCCGTGATCAAGCAAATTGATTGATTGGCTTGATTGTTGGCATCTCTGTCATTAGCTGAGTAAAGCGCATCGTATCTACTGCAGGCGCCATGACCAAACTCGTGGAACGTTGTCAATCAAATCAGGCCGACCAGGTTCTTTTTGGTTGTAGAAGCTGTTTGCCTAGGTGCATCTCGACCGGCGTCGATTGCAGCCACTCCACGGGGATCAACTGACCGGTGAGCTCACGTGCGACAGCGTCTTTGCCCCTCAAGGCTTGGTGTTCTTGCTAAGCGAAAACATAGCTGAGCAACACGATACCCGACATCGCTCAGCATCCGAGAACCGATGAAAGGCAACCACTATGGACGGAAATTCCCCATGCACCATTGCCCTCGACTATTTAGAACATAGTGAGGTGAAGCCGATCAGCGAATGCCTTCCTTCTGGTAGTGCTTCTTTTTATGTCCCTGCGCGAAAGATCAGAGCGCTGTTTGAAGACAAGCCCCATGATTTGACAGCAGAACTACTGTTTCTCTGTCCCTGCATGCGATGCATAAAAGATGGCGGAGCGGTGCAGTATCGCTCAGACTGCTTTAACAAGCTTAGGCAGCAGGAGCTAACGGGGGAGTATGCCCATATCTACGCACTACTTATCTATGTCCGCCGCCCAGGTCTCATTCAAAAGTTCCAGAAGTACGAAATAAAGCTAGAAGGAACGAGATATCTTTGCGATGCTGATTTTGACAATCTTCGTCACGAGGGGATACCTGACCTAGACTTGGTACAGAGAAAAACACTGCAGAACCAGTACAGCTTTTTGGTACGAACACTCCGTCCCGCATCAGATATTGTATCGATCTCGGCAAAAGAGCTACTGCCGATTAGAGAAGATGCGGAGCTCAAAGGGGAAGGAACATTTGCAGAAGTCAGATGCTTCGAGTTCCAAGATGACGAATATCGTTCACGAGAGTTTGGAGAAGTACGATTTCCTGAAGAATGGACCTATATGTTTTCTAACGTTTACAGCATATCAAAAGGTTTGCTCGCAAAATCTTCAAGCATGGCATGCACAAGTCTGCAGCAAGAGAATGGTACAATCTTCAGAGGCTTTCGAAAGAAGAAGACCACCCACACCTTATGTTGGCTTTGGGAGCGTATTGGCATGGCAGCCACTTCTTCATTCTACAGGAAGAAGCGGAACAATCACTTCACGATTACCTCAAAGGTCCAGGGGACAGATTCGAGTCCCAAGAGCTCTGGACGCAGATGCAGGGCGTTGCTGAAGGACTGAGCACTCTCCACACGCGTTTCGAAAACACCAAGATCGCCTATCATCAGGACTTGAAACCCGCAAATATCCTTGTAGTGAAAAAGAAGTTGAAGATTGCAGATTTTGGTCTGCTGGAATTTAAGCCTGTAACATTGCCTGGCGATACTGACCTGACCGGCATTCTGAACGATCACAATACTGGTTTTTACGCCGCCCCTCGCAAAACCAAATACACTCGAGCCTGCGATATATGGTCACTAGGATGTATAATGTCTGAAGTTGCGACTTTTGACATCCAAGGCTGGGGAGGAGTCAGCGACTACAAGAAAGCTCGCATGGCCGATGGATCATTGGGCCAAGACACTCCACGCTTCTTCAATGGAAACAAAGTGAAGAATGCGGTCTTGTATATGCATACACAGCTGCACGATTATGTTCAGTCTGCAATGCATACTGACAGCGACTCGGCAGCGCATTTCCGGAAACGCTTTTACAAAAAAGAGTTTTTCGCACTGTTGAACAGAATGTTTAGGCGGAGTTGTATTTCCGCTGATCTGCTGGACGTTTCAGGTGAAGAAATAACCATCGATGCAGCGCAAGTTGCCAAAACGCTCGAGGAGTTACGCAAAGAAGCTTTGCCGACGACTGTGCTACACAACGAGGCCAGGAACTCTGGCCTGGAGCAATACCTGCAGGACGCGGAGTCGTTGGGCTTTTCGATGGAAGCACACCTTACAGATTTCAGGAAAACATTGAACAGGAGGAACCGAGAAAAGTTTCCTACTACGACTATGACTTCCCTTATGCAATACATCTTCAACTTACAGCAAACGCAGCACGCAGAACGTCGCCAACAAGGCCTTTCCCGTCTGGGCCCATTCATCGAGAGGTTTGGCGAGTTCAACGAACTTATTGCGAACGTTCCTAGCGCTGAAGAAATCATGGGATTCATCTGGGTATGTGGTTCCCTGCTAGCAGAGCAAGTTCAGGACTGACTTAGTTGTGTAGGGCCCCGTAAGGTTCTTGCTTGAGGTATGTTTGATCTCACCAGCCAGGGTATAAGCCTGACCCGAAGATTAGACGACGAATACCTGCACTGACGCTTTTAACGACCTTCTCGACATTTATGGACAGATTGGAAGAGCTCAGGCCTCCTTGCCCTTGTACAAAGAGATGTTGCAGAGTGTGCCAGATATGACTAAGGCTCTAATAGCGGCGTACAGCGATACCATCCAGGTCAATCAATTGCTCGTGGTATACTTCCAACAGCGCCGTAAGACAACTCCATTACATGACCTTGGCTTTATATTAATAGCGGATAGTCTGGACAGAGCTTTTCCCCACGACATGGAAACGACACAGATCTCGACTGACGGGTATTATGTCTCGCATGACGTCCCGTCTCAAGCTTGTTGGTAGCCGGGCAAGCTTGAATCAATTTGACTCATTCATGAATGCTTCGGCTCTTGAAGCAGAGACTTCAGTCGACAAGATATATAGCGAGAATCTGGGCCGCAAACAAGCCGTATACGCATGGGTCAGACCTACCGACATGGAAAACGATCAAGAATATCTGAGGCGGATTCGTGTTGCATATCCAGGTACCTGCAGCTGGTTACTAGATGAGACGACCTTTCAAGAGTGGTTCGATCCACAGTCTAACGTAGTGACTGTTCCGAAGTTGTTGTGGTTGAACGGCAAGCCTGGTTCTGGTGAGTTCTTACACGCATGTATCGAACAACAACTTACACTATGGCTCTAGGGAAGACATTCCTTGCATCCTTGGTTGTAGAAGAAGCGAGAAAGCTTGAATCAAGTCCCACCGTCTTGTTTTTCTACTTCAAGCAAGAGGATAGCGATCGAAATAACTTCCTTTCCATGGCTCGTACTCTGCTTTCACAAATTCTCGAACAAAACCCTCACACTCTTGACTATTTCTATGACAAGTGCTGTAGTAGTGGAGCCGCTGTGATCAGTTCTCAGCCCCTAGTTGAAGAGTTGTTGAAGTTCGCGCTACGCAATTGCGAGTCTGCATACGTCGTGCTTGACGGTTTAGATGAGTGCTGCACAAGGAAAGAAAGAGGGGAGATCGCGAAGTGGTTTCGAGACCTAATCGAGGAAGGTCCGCCAGAAATTCGCGATGGACTTCATTGTATGTTCATCAGCCAACACGACAGCGCCAGAAAGGACTATCGCGATCTTCCTAGTATCACGGCAGATGCCTACAATAATGAAGAAGATATTGAGACTTTCTGCAAGATACAAGCTGGAAAGCTCGTTACAAAACTCGCCATCACTGAGGATTACGCACACGAGATTGCCGAACGCGTTTCTGCAGCAGCTGAAGGTATTTCTGCCCCTCATGGTTGACTTGCCTGACTGACAATAGTGACATCAAGGAGTCTTCCTTTTTGCCCATCTTGTTTGGATCAATCTTTGCGGTCAGAGCTCCATACATAGCTTAGAAAGCGAGATGGAGACTTTCGCAACTGATTTGGACAAGCTGGATAAGGCGTAAGTGATACGACTGCTGGGTTTTTGACTCCATCGGCTGACTCCACAATTTAGTTATGCTCGGATTATAAAGACCATTGTAGACAAGCCTGTTACCGCCCAACGTGACGAGGCTTTGCTGCTCCTTGGTTGGCTTGTCTGTGCAAAACGACCGTTGAAGATGCACGAAGTACAAACGCTGAGGTCGGCCGACTTTGACAAAAGAACTGTTGAATTTGAACGGCGAAGATTTCGCATCCATATCAAGGAACTATGTGAATCGCTGGTCGACGTCCGCGATGATGGCAGTATCGAGCTGGTTCATATGACTGCAAGAACGTAAGTGATCTGCGGTAACAACACATGAGGAAATATACTGAGATGCGCGAAGGTATCTAGCAAAAAGCCACTTTCTCGACATGGTCACTGAAGAGCGCCAGATGGCAATGCTCTGCATTGACTACTTGAACCTACCATCGTTTCAAAATCCGTCAGAAGAGCAGGTTCTGGCAGGGGAATATGGTTTTATGGAGTATTCCATCCTGTATTGGCTCCGGCACTTGGAGGCAGGCATGAGCTCAGCTCCACCCGATCAGGATAATATCTATCAGAGCCTCAAAGAGTCTCTTGATATACTGATTGAGCAATACTGGAACGAGCCAACTGCCAGCATTGCATCAATCTCCAAGTTCACCTCCAAACGGACTCGGGATGTTCTGAAGCATTTCAGTCATCACCAAAACTTTCCAAAGATCCACCTCGCCCTTGTTTTGACTGATAAAGAACTGAAGCATTTCGGGGACGTGCTCCCCGAATACTCTGCTCTGAGAATCGCGAGCATTGTAAAAGCCGTTCGTCGTTGTATCGAGACATATGTTCTTCGCAGCTCGAACCCAGACGTGACTGAAGCGCTAAGGAATATGTACGGCAGTAATCTATTCAAGTGCCCGAGGTTCAGCTGCAGGTACTTCACCGATGGATTCTCAACACTGGAAGAGCGTGAGAAACATGTCGAACGACACGAGCGTCCAGCTCGTTGTACCGATGAACATTGCAGAGGCTCTCAGATCGGGTTTGCGACGCAAGCACAACTAGATCGACATCTCAGGGAGAATCATCCGGACACGACGGAACGCCACCACAATTTTCCGACAGACGAGGAGATTTTTGACAGTATGCGAGAAGTTTCACCAGAACCCGAAGATGCGATTGAGGACGAACCTCAGTTTGTTCAGCAGTCGGAACGACCGTTCGCAGTTCCGGACCCAGGAGATACTTTCATGTCAGAACAGGCAGAGCCCCAGCCAAAACAGCTCAGTGAGGTCGCTAAGCGCCAGCGAAAGAAGCGGAACTATCAATGTGCACATTGCGACAAAAACTTCACCAAAAAGTATAACTGGGAATCTCATCTTAGAACCCACGACGAAAACCGAAGATTAGAATGTCAATTTTGCGATAAATCGTGCGCCAGATTTAGCGATCTCGTCCGGCATATGAGGCTTCACGATTCAAATACCGCAGTCACATGCGGTGGCGTACTTCCAGATGGCCGAAGGTGGGGATGCGGAACCAATTTCGCAAGAATCGATATTCTTCGTACACATCACAAATCCAAAAAGGGCAGGCAATGCGTTGCAGAAAGAGACAGCGAAGAGCAATCCGTAGCTTCAGCTGCATGATTTAGTTCACAGATTAAGTAGAAGCACATCGCGATGCAACGTAGGGAGGTTGTACTAGGCTTGAGCGTTCGCCGCAAGACTCTTAAGGATAATATGAGTTTAGCAAATCATGACTGCATTTTTCTTTTGGAAAGACTTATTGATTAATGAAGAGCTTCCACAGTATTCTAAGGCTGCTTGCCCATCGTTGCTGACCATAGTCCCCGCAGCAAGGGTGGTAGGAATGTGTGAGTAATTTGCTGACACCGGTAACTTGCGCGAGAGCGGTAGCAGAACGCGAAGATCACGTCAGTGGTCCTGCAGTACCATGCTTGCAAAAGAAACCAGAAAGGCAGACCTGTCTGCTTTTGGTGTCGCCCAGCGGTTGTAAAAGTGAAGCGTTCCAGTGGCGGCTCTAGGCCTTCCCACAAGCGCTCGAGCTAGCGCTGGCTGTATGCACGAACTCAGTCTGACCAATGAATTTCCCTTGGTTTGAATGACTGCCTTTTTTTGAACCTTTCTTTGCTGATCTCATCTTTACTTTGCCACGATTGGTTCCTTGCATCACGGAATTTGCTAAGCCGTATTCTCCGCTACACGCTTCAGAAGCCGTTCAGCTTGATAGTAGTCTTCATTCTTCTGAGGTTCTGTGGTTCATGTCTAAGCCTGATACCTGCGGAGCAACGCATATCATAGGACTAGCCTTAGCAGGCTTCCTTCCATATATAAATCCCTCACTACCATCAGATGTACCTTAGCACAAGCATAGCTTAAACACGAATTCAGTTCAAGATACTCCCACAGTGTGGCCTTTGCAAATTATCAGAATGGAAGTGTAGCAGCGAAGATCGAGATTCAACGGAAGTAAGTCGTTGCAATCGTCCCGTAACGAACTTATGTGAGTCTCTCTTGGAAGCTTGATTATGGAAATCTTAAAACTTAGCCGTAGCCGTAAAAAGGTGAGGCACTGGGAGTGAGAAGGATTCTGTGTCAAAGTTAGAGAGACCGTGGAGAAAAGCCATGCTGATTGGCCTCATGCTGCAAACCCTACATCTCGTATATCCCCTTAGATAGTACCAAACCTCATCAAAGCCGTAGACATGTCGAGAGGGAAAACAACGCTACTGTGGTGGATCAAACGAGCAGACGACATGCGTCAGAGGAGTTCAGCTATGTTGGCTCTATTATTGAGCATGATCGTTCAGTAGCGCAGCCCATGAACATGAGGTTTCACGATAGGTAAGCTCTCTCAACCTTGGATCTGCACTATACTCTGTGCGTACCTTCGTAGACAGAAGCGAGGCAGATCATGACTCAGCACCAAGCCTGGACAGTTAGCCCACAGTGCTGTTAGCATTGAAATCTCTCAAGAAGCGACAGTCGCGTAGAAAAGAAGCAGTTTGTTGAACTTTGCAAGGATCGCGGTTATCTCCTGCTGGTCAGGATGATTGCGGTCGTCGGTATGAGGTGGATTTGGAGGCACCTCCGACGAAGTTGGCTCTGATGAAGTGTTTTCAGTCATCTTTTGATTGTTTCTGAGTATTTGATGTCGTCTTAAAGGTGTGTGAGCGAATATTCGTCGCTCAGCGTCAAAGGTAGGTTGTAGGTAAGCGTGCTAAAACCGGTTTTTGGTTATATGCACACCTGATACATCATACGTGCTACCCGTGACTACTCTAGTTTGCTGACAACCAGCAATTCAACCAACGATCCTTCCCGGCTTGTCACGTCTTGGCTTGCATACCTCGGCCCGGACCGAACGACAGCCATGTTAAGAGCTTAGTTCTTCTCATCAAGACGGCGAATCTCTTCAAGGGCTATGACGATAGTGACGCAGAAGTATCGAATGGTTCGTTATCCACTGGTCAAAACAGTAGCGTGGTGTAAAGCAGATGAATGAAAGCATTGCGATTCGAAGTACACCTAGTTACAAGATGCCAAGGTGGCCTCAGTAGGACGCCCGACAGGAGCCAGGACATGACTGATAGCATGACATGAGGTAACTGATTCGCTCAACAAGGCCAAGGGAACCTATTCAACTTCTTGGAAGTTGCTCAGGTCTTATCACAATGTGTTAAGTAAGGCAATCAGAGTATCAATAAAGCCAGTGAGGGGAAAGTCCTGGAGTGGTAATCGCCAATGCTGACTTGGTCAATCATCTCCTTTTCAGTATGAGATGTAGTATCTCAGTAACCCGAGTTGAGGGTAGTTGAAGCGAGGTTTGGAGACATTGTTAGAAGAAAACTTGAGCATAAAAGCTGGATGGAAAGGCCTCTTGGAAGCAGAAGTCCTCACCAGCTCAGAAACGACAGAATCATTTGTTGCATCCTCTACGACTCGAGACATACAAGATGTTGGGCAAAATCAACCTGGCGTTGGTCGTTGCTATCTCCCTACTGTAGGTCAGAGGTCATTCTGTAACGGTTGAGAGGAGAAGCAGATTACGTGTTGTTGGCGGTGGTCTGGTGCTACTTCCTCATGTTGTTGAGCACCTCTTACCTCAGCTGCATCACAAAGACGTCATCAAAACAGACCCTGCAGCGAGCCTTGGAGAGCAAAGATACAAGCAACACAACAAAAACAGAACAACACAATACACTCGTTATATACATTTGCCCTTGATACCGCAAACACATTCACACAAATACTAGGTATGCTAACACGATAACGAAGATCGGAGCCAGCGCAATCAACCGATCACGGTCTCCTGTCGTAAATCGTTACGTCGAAGGACCGTTTTCAGAAGTCGTGAAAGATCTCAAGACAGACAGACGCTACAGGAGCACTTAGCGTCGGACCGGACGGTGTCTTGCGTAGTTTCGCGGGCAACCTCGAAGTCATTGACTACCGTCAGCTGGATCCCGAGCAGGTTCGATGGTTCGGCAAGCAACAGCTCAGTGCCTGGTCGAACGATGCAGAGATACCAGATTCAGTATCTGCCTTGGTACAAGTTACTATTGACGGACGACTTGTCACAGACGAAAAACTTCTTCTACACCCCAGCGAGAAGCCGCAAATAGGAAAGAAGTCTTCTTCCACTCAGAGTGACAAGCGAAATGCAGATGACCTTTTTATCCGGCAATCAGCCCTCTGTGCTGGTACATATTACGAGAGTCTTAATGAGTGTATCCCGAGGGGTTGCAATGCCTGCTACTTTCCCAACGGCCCGCCTGACGATCGTTGCCTGGACCCCAACCCCAACCTTCCACAGCTCTTCTGGTCTCAGCGCTTGCTTCGCGAACAACACCCATTGCAGCAGACATATCGTCTCGTGCTTATCGGGGTTATCTTTGTGCAAAAGAGTGTCGAACACTTCCTCAAGATCGCCTGGCAGCTCATTAAGCTTCTGTTGCATAGCTTCCACCTTGCCCTCGTCGTACGCTTCGTTGAGCATCGCCACCACGAGTACGACCCACATAAACACCCCCCCTGCTTTGCGCAAGACTTCGGCCTCGATGTCTTTGTCTTGTCCCCTGAGCTTGTCGTGGACATATCGAGCAATATCACAGTCGTGTTCATCAATCTCCTCTACAATAAGATCAAGGTTCTTCTTCATGCTAATAGTCGGATAATGGCGACTCGATAGACATACGTCGAGAGTCACGTTGGCTTTGACGGCACACACACTCATCTCTTCGAGGAAACCGACAACTTCCCGCACGTCAGCTTCCCGGCATTCGTCTAAGGCGTCAATGTGGATCAACAGCGGTTGTAACTGCGGTGTTTTTGCCTGCAGGCGTAGAAACTCCTTTAGCTCCGCTTCGCGCCATTCCCATCTCTCGTGTTTTTCCTCCTTGTCGCGGAAGTGGGGAAGAAAGCGTTCGTATAGAAGATCGTGCTCAAGCAGCTGGCACGTTATTGAGCGCAGCATGCCTAACGGCGTCTTCTCGAGCTTTTCACCTCGTGCATTGAAGAAGTATGCCACAGTGACGTGGTCCCGGAAGAACTGTGAGCCATTCTGCCAGATGTGTTTCATCAGCGTTGACTTGCCTGCTCCCGGCTTGCCCTTGATCCACAGCACCCCGTTGTGGCTCTGGAGGTCGCTTCTGTCACACCACCTCTGGAACTGCGAGATTTCGAAAATCCACTCGCACGTGTCTTGGTGAGCAGTGGCTATGTCCTGACGTCGCGCATCGATGGTGGCAAAGCTTAGTGAGCTCAAACATCCTATCAAATCAGGGTCAGCTTTGTTGACAGCAAAGTAAAGAGGCAGCTGAACGGCCGCTGCGTACATGTCTCACTACCACCTGCAACAGCACTTGACAGGAACAATAAGAAACAATACGGTATAAGAGTAAGCAGCCGCGCACTCACGTCTACGTTCGTCTGCTAGCACCTTAGCCGGATCCAAGTCTTTCAGCGGATCGCCTGCATTGCGTTAGCACTGTAAAATCTACACAGGCAATAATTTCTCGCTGTTCTAGTCCTTACGTACGACCAAAAAACTGATTCTGCGCATTGTATTGCCGACTCATGAGGCTGATGTAAACCTCGCAATCCTAGCTCTTAATCAACACTAAATATCAACTAAGAGATCTGCTGCCTATACGTACGGAGTCTCTTGAACTACCCTCCAACGCTGACGCGCTGGGACGCGCGCCTGACGCGATTGCCAGCCCAACTCAAAGAAGCTCACCAAGCTAGAGGAGCAGGTGATTATCAGACATATACTCGACTTGGATACACGTGGATTTGCGCCTACGTACGATGCTGTACGTGATATGGCTGATAAGCTGCTGGCTGCGCGCGGCGCTGGTCAGGTAGGCGTCCACTGGCCGCGCAACTTTGTCAAGCGTACAGACAGTCTCACGACGCGTTTCAATCGAGCGTACGATAGACAGAGAGCCCAGTGTGAGGATCCAGCCCTAATTAGGAGCTAGTTTAAGCTTGTAGAGGAGACAAAGGCCAAGTACAGCATCTGCAATAATGACGTCTACAACTTTGACAAGGCTAGCTTTATAATGGGCAAGATCACAACTCAGCTCGTCGTGACAGGGTCAGAGAGGAGAGGCAGGCCAAAGGCTATCCAGCCAGGCAATCGTGAGTGGGTGACGTTGATCGCTGCAATCAACGCAGCTGGCTGGTCAGTCCCACCATTCCTCATCTTTGCTGGCAAGTACCACCTCTCTGCCTGGTACGAGGAGGATATTCCACGCGACTGGGCAATTGCAGTTAGCGACAATGGCTGGACAAACAACGAGCTAGGCGTAGAGTGGCTGAAGCACTTCAACGCTCACACGAAGACTCGCGTCGTTGGTGCGCGCCGCCTGCTCGTCCTTGACGGCCACGCGAGCCACCACTCTCTTGAGTTTCAAGAGCTTTGCAAGGAGAACAATATCTACACGCTCTGCATGCCACCTCACTCATCCCACCTGCTGCAGCCGCTTGACGTTGGCTGCTTCTCGCCGTTGAAGCGCGCGTACAGTCGTGAGGTTGAGAGCCTGATCCGCCAACACATCAACCACATCACTAAGCTCGAGTTTCTGCCAGCGTTTAAGGCAGCATTCAATCAATCGCTCACCTCAGCCAATATCTGCTCAGCTTTTCGAGGCGCAGGCCTTGTTCCTCTCCAGCCAGACGCTGTTCTATCGAAGCTAGACGTGCAGCTGCGTACGCCGTCTCCAGCTGCTGCTCTACTAGAGGCTCCCTGGGAGGCTCGTACACCGAGCAACGTACGCGAGCTTGAGGCTCAATCAACTCTTATACGTGAGCGCGTACGCCAGCATAAGAGCTCGTCACCAGCTTCTATTATTGAAGCAATTAACCAGCTAAAGAAGGGCGCTGAGGTGATGATACTCTCTGCTGAGCTGATGCGCGATCGGATCACCAGCCTTGAGCGAGCCAACAAGGCAGCGTCAGTGCGTAAGCAACGGAAGAAAAAGCGTATACAGAAGCGAGGGACCTTAACAAAGGGAGAGGGAGAGTATATACTCGCTCAACGTGAGGTTGAGCAGCAGATTTCTTGTGAAGAGCGTCAAGGAGGAGCGCGATTAGGCCTTAGCCGCCAGGCTCTCGCGCGCTGCACAAGGTGCAGAGAGACTGGGCATAACTCACGTACGTGTAGAAAAGATACATTAGATACTGCTTAATTTACTCTGCAAACATCTATATATTATGTTATCACGTTGTTGAGATATACGCTTGTAGAGGTGCGCAAAGTTGGTAGGGTGGCCCGCTCGCTTGTATGGCCCGCTCGCTTGTAAAACATGTTACAAGCGCTTTCTTCCCTACTTTTGCAAGAAAGAGGAGAAACACAAGAGATAGGAATAGCAAAAAGTAGAGCTAAAAGAGTTTCTCCTCTTGCAGGCAAAGACGCCACAGTTACAACTACTGTTTATCTACATTAATGCCTTAGACAAATATTAGGAATCTAACGTGTAGGAAGTTGTTAGTCTTCTTAAAGAGATAAGTGTGTGTGCTATTAAAGCCAACGTAACACTTAACATATGTCTATTAAGTCACTATTACCTAGCTATTAGCATAAAGAAGAATATTAATCTTGTTGTAGAGAATGTTAATAAGCACAACCACAACATCACCTAGTATGTCCACAACAAGCTTGCAGAACAAGACAAAGACATTAAGGCTAAAGTCTTGCACAAAGTAAGGGGGGTGTTTATGTAGGTTGTACTTGTAGTTGCAATGCTTAACAAAGCGTACAACAAGGGCAAGGTCAAAGCCATGCAACAGAAGCTTAACAAGCTGCTAGGCAATCTAGAAGAGGTGTTTAATACTCTTTTGCACAAAGACAATCCTAACAAGCACAAGACAACATGTCTGCTGCAATAGGTGTTGTTCGCGAAGCGAGCGCTAAGACTAGAAGAGTTATACTTTGGCATGATGGCCAGAACACAGCTAGGGACTCTGGGTGCTTGGGATAGCTTAAAGATCACCAGCGAGGTTATTCAGCGTTGAGTCACTAGCTCTTTGAGAGGCCTGATCAAGGTACGCAAAGGAGAGGAGAGGACAGTGCAATTTATTCACAAGTTAGTTAATGACTTCCTCTTGCAAAACGAGCAGCTCTAGACGCTAGACTCTGCGCTGCAGTTGAACGTGATAGGGACAAGTCATGACTGTCTGAGGGCTTGCTGCATGTCGTATCTCAGCATAGGCGGACTGGCAGTGGCTGAGCGATTGCTGCTAGTAGAGAAGACTGCATTAAACTACCTGCTGCTGGAGTATGCATCAACTCATGTTCTACAACATGCTAAAGAAGCTCAGGGGAGAGGTGTTGTGCAGACAGAGCTCTTTAGATGGCTGCACAACTGCAAGAGCTTCAAGTGGCTGAGACGCTTTCACAATGCATTTGAAGATATACCAGGACTAGGGTGCAGCAAGGGCGTCTTGCTGGTCTACATGCTGTCACTGCACGGCTGGCGAGAGCTGCTCAGGGCTGTGCTGTGTGAGGGTGGGGCAGATGTCAATGCTCAAGGCGGACCGTATAGCAGTGCGCTGCAAGCAGCTGCATATAAGGTCAACAGCAAAGTAGTGAAAATGCTGCTTAAGAAGGGCGCAGATGTCAACGCCAAAGGTGGTCTGTATAGAAGCGCACTGCAAGCAGCTGCATTGGATAGCAAAGAGGAAGTAGTGAAGATGCTGCTTGAGAAGGGAGCAGACGTCAACGCTGAAGGCGGTGTGTATGGCAGCGCGCTACAAGCAGCTGCATTGGAGGACAACGAGGAAGTAGTGAAGATGCTGCTCAAGAAGGGCGCAGATGTCAACGCTCAAGGCGGTTTGGTCAACAGTGCGCTGCAAGCAGCTGCATATAAGGGCGACAAGGAAATTGTAGAGATGCTGCTTGAGAAGGGCGCAGACGTCAACGCTCAAGGCGGTCTGCTCAGCAATACGCTGCAGGCAGCTGCATTGGGGAGTGAGGATGAAGTCGTAAAGATCCTGCTCGAGAAGGGCGCAGACGTCAACGCTCAAGGCGGTGCATACGGCAGCGCGCTATGGGCGGCTGTAGCTGAAGACAAAGGTCGTGTTGTTGGAGTGTTGCTTGAGCACGGAGCAAACGTCAACGCTCAGTACAGGTCTCTTAGCAGTGCATCAGATGCAAGCTCCTGGAAGACTCGCTAATTACAGCAGCAGTAAGTGTTGTCTCAACCACGTGTTTCGCAGTTTGTTCTCTCTTCTTCCCTGTTCTGGCCGATCCGTCATCTTTGGCGGCCTTTTGCTTACCGCTGTTTTGTATCTTTCCTATCTTGCCTGAATACAACGTCTTGGATTTTTGCTCTATGTACAATTGAGACGGATCAGCTGAAGTAGCTGCTGCTGTGATGTCAAGCTTGATCTCAGTATACGAATAGGGGCTTCGCTGCAGCGAGTGGCAACAGTCGTACTGCGTTGAGCACAATACTAATTAATTGCACCTTGTACATCGTACAAAGCTCACGAACGCGAGGACTCTAGTGAATTGACGCGTTATCAAGAACGATTACTGAGTACCTAGGCGTAGTATGTGGCAACACAGAGCGTTCGAGGAAGTCCTCCATGATCTCTGAGGTAATAGCGCCTTGGAAAATGGTGTAACGTTAACAGAGGTACCTGTTGACCGTTATCGCTGGCAAAAGTGACCATCGCTTACTCTGTCTTATACTATACTCTAGTTTAACTGGTGTGTTGACTCTACTTTAGCTGTACTTGCGGTCGCTAGTTCTCTTGTTGCAAGCGCTTTCATCTATTGTGATGACTTGCTTAGCCTTGTACTGTTGCATCCTCGCTCTGTATACGCGCTGGAGTGACTTGCTCTGCTCCCTTGCCTTCTTTGTTGCCAGCTTCCTGCTGTAGTTAAGCTTTATTAGAGCTCTCTACACTGTTGGAAATAATGCTATTACATCATAATCCTTGTATAAAAAAAGCTGCATCTTATCTAGATAAGCGCTGGGTCTGCCTTTGAGGTACTTAGCCAAGCCCTCTACCTGAGCCTGTTGAAGCAGCGGAGGTCTACCTAGCCGTACTGTGGAGGGCGGATAGCACTGTCCCCAGTACTCCAGGCTTAGCCGCAGCTTTGCCACAGTGTGGCGATCAACACTACAAGAAGCAGAAACTACAGAGTCGATTTGCCCAGCAGCTATAAGCTCCGTTACAGACTGCTGGGTGGTGACAGGCAAACGTTTACCAGCCGCGCATCGTGGATGGGTTGCCGCGTGGAGTCTCTGCCCCATCAACACCAGAAAACGGTCGCGATAGTAGCGATAGAGCCTCACAAATAAGTTAAGAGTAACGTAGTTCACAAGCGAGCGGTCCAACCCAAGCGAGCGGTCCATCCCAACCATGATAGCCTAATAACTACTTTGCATTACAATGCCATCCCAACGCAACGTGCAATTAACCTATACTGAAGGGACCTTACAGCTTGCTATCCAAGCTACAATTAAAGATCGCGACGAGAGTGAAAGACGCGCTATTGCAGCCTTCAGCGTACCTTGAACTACTGTCCGCTGACGACGCCAAGGAGCCCTCTCTCGACGCGATCGCGAGCCCAATTCAAAGAAGCTGAGCAAACTGGAGGAGGAGGCCCTTGTACAACGTATACTTGAGCTTGACACAAGAGGAATACCTGCTACAAAGGCTATGGTGCGAGATATGGCCAATGATCTGCTTGCTGAGCGCGGTGGAGAGCCTGTTGGCAAGCACTGGGTAGACAACTTCAAGACGCGTACGCCTGAGATCAAGCTTCGAAGGAGCCGTCCATATGATCGCCAGCGAGCCCTTAACGAAGATGCACGCGTTATAACGCCCTGGTTTGAGCTAGTTGCCAACACAAAGGCCAAGTACGGCATCACAGACGAAGACATGTACAACTTTGACGAGACAGGCTTCATGATGGGGGTTATCCATAGCCAGATGGTCTTTATAGGCTCTGAGAAGCGTAGCACAAAGAGCCTGCAGCTAGGGAACCGTGGTTGGGTCACCAATATACAAGGAGTCAACGCCAAAGGATGGGCTATCCCACCCTTCCTTATCTTCCCTGGCAAGGTCCTTATTACCTCATGGTTTCACAATCTACCTCGGGATTGGGTAATTGAGGTTAGTCCTAATGGCTGGACGTCGAATGAGCTTGGTATTGCCTGGCTGAAGCACTTCAATACCCATACAAAAGACCGGAAGGTGGGTGCACACAGGCTGCTGATTGTGGACGGCCATGAGAGCCACAGCTCACATGAATTCCACAAACACTGTGAGGAAGAGAAGATTATTGTTCTCTGTATGCCTGCTCACTCGTCGCACCTGCTGCAGCCACTTGATGTGGGTTGCTTTTCGCCTTTAAAGCGGGCATATGGTGATGAGATCAGTGGCTTGGCACGGTACGGCTCCAAGCAGATCAAGAAGGAGGCTTTCCTACCAGCCTTTAAAGCAGCTTTTGAGAGGTTAATCACGAAGGAGAACATCTGTGCAGGCTTTAGGGGCGCTGGACTAGTTCCACACAACCCAGAGGCGGTGATATCAAAGCTTGATGTGGTCCTTCGTACGCCAACTCCACCAAAGCTAGAGGACACCCCATGGGAATCGAAAACTCCAAGCAACCTCTGTGAGATAGAGGCTCAGTCAACGCTGGTTCGTGAGCGTGTACGACTGCACAGAGATTCCCCAGTTTCTCCTCTGCTTAGAGCAGTTGAGCAGCTGAACAAGGGCATTGCACGGATAGGGCATGATAGCGTGTTAATGCGACAGGAAATAGCAGGGCTTCGCAAGGCAGTAGAGATAGCAACAGAGGTTAGAGGTCGAAAGAGGAAGTATATTCGGGCAGCAGAGAGTCTCACGGTAGGTGAGGTAGCTGATTTAATAGCTGAAAGGGAGGGTAGTGGGCAGCAGGGGGGCGGAGAGCCTGCAAAGAAGGTGCGCACACAGAGGCGTTGCGGACGTTGTGGAGAGACTAGCCACAACGCTCGCACCTGTGCAGTTGAAATTGTCAATGCATCTAATAGCGATGAGTCTAAATAGTATCTCTATCACCTGCAAATTGCAGTAAGTGGTGGTGGTGTTGCAGCATATGCATTGCAATCATCTTAACTCTGTTAGGTGGACCACTCGCTTGGGTTGGACCGCTCGCTTGTGAACTACGTTATGCGGAAGGTCAAAGAAACCTTTGCAAGTATCAAAATACACTTAGGTTTGGCCGATAGGTGATGCGTTAAAGATTCCGACTTACCCCTCGTCAGTGCACGTGATGTCCATGGTATTTTGAAACCCACCCATAAGGTCAAAACAGGCAGATCTCGTCTGGCATTGGCTGCTGCAAAAGAATTCAGACTGTATCGATCTCGAACTCACTGCCCTATGCTGTCACCATACACATTGTATTGACCGGCCGGGATCGTAGTCCAACGACTATAGCTGGTGAAGCTGGCAGTCTGGCGAAGAGAGAGCTAATGTTGGCGACATAAAAGACCAGGCTGCGTGCTATCAGACGATCATTGCACCGGCTGCAATTGGCACAAAGAAGATAAAATCGATCGGTGATAGTAGGACCCGACCACCGAGTTTAAGGACCTAGTGCTTACGCAAAGCTGGTCTCCCCTGCATACAGATTCCTGTAATCAGGGCTAATTTATGCGCCCTCTTTGCCCAAATCCTGCACCACCACTACCGGAAACGGTAAAATTAAGGATCTTTGTGGTGAACGGCCAGGAGATAACAAGGCTTCCCGTTCGCTCAGCCCTATTTAAGCAACGTACCGGCGGATTAGTGGTTAGGTGGGTGACCACTAGCGAATACCCGCTGTTGTATGTTTTTTGCCCCGTGTCCCCACCCCCTACCTCGCAGGAACGTCGCCACTTCGCTATCGATCACTTTTTTGCCCGGTCGAGGACTTAGTCGTTGCTAAGATAGCGATATCTACTTGCTTGTGCGAGGTTCGCAGATGAAGGGGGACCCATATTGCGACCATGACTCAAGAGGAAGGGGTAAGACTGGGCTGCTTGCATCTGCAGCATTGCCAACAGGACGTACAAGGCTACGGTAAAGGCCAATTACCGTGACCTACGGCAGTGATAGGCAGCTACAACGTCCTAAAATCTACAGGATTATATAGGCTTAGCGACGAACTCTGTCCATTGATCGTATACCCAGGCATGGATACCAAGCTTCGCGCGAGAGATCTTGGTCACTCCAGCTGGCGTCCTGCTGAGGTAGTGAAGCTGCCTTCCGATGGAGGTTGTGAACGCCTTCAGCACTACGAACAGCTCCTCGGTCTGCTCATAGGCGTTCTTGATATCAAGACAGATGCTACCAAGGCAACGTTTGCGATGAGACCCTGGAAGTACAAGATCGAGGGCAGATTGGATCTTACTCTGGGGAGATCACTTAGCAAGGCTCGGTGTAAGACTGTCATATTCTCTTGCGTATTGGAACAGCTGATCGGCGCTGGACTGCCAATCTTCCTGACGGATTCGATTCTGTTATCACCAAGTCGTAGGCGGCATGCGCCACCAAATTGCGCATCTCCTCTGACCACCCGGTCGTTGATGAAGAAGGCCTAACGTATTCATGAAACATGCTGTGAAGCGTTAATATCTGTCTGAACGTCCGGTGATGAGGCAAGATCAATCAAGTGAAGTCGAGAACGCTGACATCGGAGCTAGACCCGGGCGTACTAACTAGATTGGGGTAGCTGAGCTCCACTTTCACCGCCGCCCCTCCAGATCTCATCGTAAAGCTCCTGAGCAAGTCTCACGATGTGGCAGGTCTGACCTGAGTAGTTATAGGAAGACTGCCCAACAAGAGCTCACGGCAGCTGCCGACTTCTACCGTCACGTCTGCCGCAGGACCGGCGACACCAGCAAGCGAGACATCGTCAACGTCATTCCCACGCCTACATTCGCGCATCTTGCCGCGCATACCGTGCACGCCCGCGCACCACCGAAGACATCTACCAAGATGGCGTCCCCGCCGATAAACACGCTCACGATGCCGCCGCGCTTCAACGTCGAACTTGATCGTACCGATGCCGGCGTGCCCTTCCGCGCGTCGCAGTCGCACATCCACCACACATGGGCGCGCACCTTCCACGCTCGACCGGAGCTGTACATCCGGCCCCAGTCGCTGGAGGAGATCCAGAAGGTCGTCACCCTTGCCCGTCGCATGCGCCGCCGCGTCGTCACGGTCGGATGCGGACATTCGCCGTCAGACCTCACCTGTACGTCGGCATGGATGGTCAACCTCGACGACTACAAGGAAGTGTTGAAGGTGGACAAGGAGCGCAATACCATGACGGTACAAGCCGGTATCCGCATGCACAGCCTGAACGAGCAGGCGAAGGAGCACGGCCTCACCATGCCGAACTTAGGCAGCATCGATGTGCAGAGTCTCGCAGGCGCAATCGCCACAGCGACACACGGCAGCTCTATGCAGCACGGCCTGCTGTCTGACAGCGTGCGTAGTCTGCGCATTGTCCTTGCGAACGGCCAGGCGGTGCGCTGCTCTGCCACACAGTCGCCGGATCTGTTCCGCGCAGCACTCGTCTCGCTTGGTGGCATTGGTATCATCGTGGAGATTGAATTCGAACTGGTCCCGCAGACGGATATTGAGTGGGTCCAGACCATTCGTCCCATCGAAGACGTACTCACAGACTGGAACAACGGCCTCTGGACTTCGAATGAGTTTGTACGCGTGTGGTGGCTGCCTTACATGAAGCGTGCCATTGTCTGGCGCGCCTCGACTACGAAAAAGGAACACGTCAAACCCCAATACAACTGGTACGGCGGCAGCGTCGGCTTCCACACCTACCACATCCTGCTCTGGATCAGTCAATACGTCCCTCGCTTTCTGCCATGGGTAGAGTGGTTTGTCTTCGGCATGCAATACGGCTTCAAAGACGGCGCCATCATTTCCGCAGTCGAAGAACAACGCAACGGTCTTCTCATGAATTGCCTGTACTCACAGTTCGTCAACGAATGGTCTATTCCCCTTCAGCACGGCCCCGAAGCCCTCACACGGCTCACAAACTGGCTGCACGGCGACGAAGTCTCTTCCGGCATCCCCTTCACCTCCAAGGGCCTGTACGTGCACTCACCCATCGAAGTCCGCGTCGCCAACACCACCAAACGCACCTCCCCGCGCCCCTTCCTCGACACCACCTGCGAAGACTCACCCAGCCTGTACCTGAATGCCACGCTCTACCGTCCCTACAACCAAGATCCGCCCTGCCGCGAGCGCTACTACCAAGCCTTCGAGCACCTGATGAAAGAATACAACGGTCGCCCCCACTGGGCCAAGAACTTCCAGTCCGTCGACCACACCTACCTCTCGCAAGCGTATGGTAACGATCTGAGCGAGTGGACCCGTATCCGCAATGAAGTTGATCCCGAGGGCATGTTTCTTGGCGCGTGGCACCGCCGCACATTACTGCCGAGTAAGACAGAGATGCCTCTCTTCCCGCTCGAGGAGAAGGAGGTTGTGCGCCGCGACCGTCGCACCGGTGGTCAGGACTGGATTGGCGAGCAGGCGCGATGGTGGGACGGAGGAGTCGACGTTTTTGAGAAGATGAACCCTGATTCTGAGGACCACAGTGAAAGCGGCGAGTCGTTTGATTTGATGGCTGGTGCTGAGGCGGAGAGCTCGGTGCTGCTGGAGAGTCTGAGGGATGAGATGACGGAGACGGAGATCCATGAAAGGAGCAGTTATACCGAGACGACTACTCTGCTCGAGAGCATGGGTGAGTTCGTGCGCAAGGGTGAGAGCTTGACAGAAGAGAAGCAAGAGGTTGAACACTTCGTGAAAGAAGGCGATGATGGGAGTGGCAACTTCAACAAGATGTGAATACGATCCGCGAGCGGAATAATAGCACTCTTCACTTCATCAAAGCTTATCTCTGAATACTCGTCCTCGCTTGTCCGTGCCTTGTGTTGCTGCACATCGTTTGAGAAAATTACAAATTCTGCCCTCGAGGTCATTTGATCAGAACACATCGTAATATAAGGTCAAGCTCACACCGATAAACTCATCGCGTCGCACTGAGTTGCCTAGGAATGCGGACAGAAGACAGCGGGGCGAAATTAAGCGCGCCCAAGCCCTGCCTCCACAAGATCTTACAGTCATCAATGCTATCATTGCAGTTGTCTGCAAAACTGTCAGCCCAAACACTCCCGCCGTACGGACAATCTTCGTTGAGACCGCTTCCAGGCTCCAGCTACCTCTATCTCGGATGCATGTTGACATACATCAATCTCACATCCAGCGCAGAATCACGATACACAAAGTTGCCTGAAAAGGCTTGACTTTATTGACTGATGTCTGATGATGTCCGAAGCTTCAACCAATCATGTTCTCAATGTGCAAAGAGGCGCGGCTGGGATTATGGGGGCGGAATTCCATTTCATCCGTTGCTTACACCTCTGAGAACGCCTACCTGATCATATAGGGCACATTGCTCACTCCGACTTTCACAGGGTACCAACTCACACTTATCATCTTCCAACGGCGTTACTGGCGCTGCCTGCTCTGTCTCCCGCTCTATTCCGCAGACACTGCTGTCGACGATCTTGAAGGTTGCAACTGCATTTCTCTTCAGAGAACCAAGCTCCTGCTTGTATAAGTCTGCATCATGGGACGTGGACGAGATGAGCTGGAGATCTACTTCGATGAAGATAAGGATCTGCACGAGGTCTGGCCGCAGGTTGTTTCACAGTACGAAAAAATCACTAAACAGAAGCTGGACTCAGGGACCACTTTCAAGTCCTTCCAGACCAGAATCGATCAGGAAATTAGCAGCTCCAAATCAAAGGACACGAACACGCTCGTAAGGTTCTTAGAAACATTGGCCACTGCCTTGAGACGTTCGGGAGCATCATCGCACAAGGAGCAGGTATACTCTTCGGCCCAGCTTCTCAATGTTGGAACGCGATCAGCTTCGTGGTACAGGCGGCAAAAGGGTTTGGGGATGTTCTGGATGGGTTTGTCACCTTGATGGAACGCTCATCAGCATTCCTAAAGCAGCCGAACAACTTCCTAGAGCAGAAGCGTGGCGAAGGCGAAGCACGTCTGCCGTGTAGCCTCCGCGAGCCGGCATATGGCATGCTGTCGCAGTGAGTGCAAGCAGTGCGCAAGGAATTGAGGATTGAACTGAGGTTGTATTTGTGTGAAGCTACGAACGGTACATGTAGGTAAGTGATTGTAAACAGCGCTAGCCCTTGCTGGCATCGCGCCCTCACCAAAGGTGAGTTGCGACTGCAGAGGCTGAGAAGGAGAGGTCCTAAACCGCGACACATGCTCACTTTGTTCCTGAGCGTTCTCCAGAATTCGTACGAGCTGGCTACCAGTAAGAGGGAGAGACTTAAGACTATGATGGGGATAGTTCTCTTCAACGACGATCGCGGGGTAGCCCAATCCCTCGAGCTACTGGAGCTGCGCATTAAGGACTTCACAAACGCTTCGATTCAAGAGATCCTGTTTGACATCAAGGGGTTGGCGCTACACCTGCGTGAATCTGAAGAGGAGATGCACCGTCACCAGGCTGAGATCCGAGAACACCTCGAGGCCACGTACAAAGTTACCGAGCAGGTCCTGAGCGTTGCTCAGCAAATGAAATGGACCATAGATGGTCGTACCAGTAAAGACCAACACAAAGAGGACAAAGACAAAATCGCGAAAAGCCTGGCGCTTCAGAAAGCTGGAGAAACTGAGTCTTGGGAAAAGCGACGTAGCGAAGTTTGCAAAGGCCACGTCGAAAACACAGGCAAATGGCTCGAGCGTGAAAAGGGATTTGTCCAGTGGAGCGACGTCAATAACCAGAGCAAACAAGTGTTTGTTCTGAAGGCGGATTCTGGCTTCGGGAAGACGTATGCATCTAATCATGTCATCTCTTTTCTTCAGAAGAAGTACCGGGCCGGATCTGGATCAAGTCAGGTTTATCTGGCCTACTACTACTACGGCGATGACAAAGATGAGTCTCTGGAACGCTGCATTGGGTCGATCATATGCCACGGCAGTGGCCAACGCCTGTGGGCAGCCGGTGAATGTGGCTAGAGCCGGGGATCGTTGGAAGTATCTCATGTTGGGACTGTCCAGTCATATGAAGGGGACCTACTTCATCTGTATTGACGGTTTCGACAGTCGCGGACAGCTTAACAAGGACGATGCAACCATTGCAGCGATCGCACAACGTGCCGTGGCGAAAGCCGACTCCTCTGGAATTTCCATACGCTTGTTCCTTTCGGGCACTCCTGAGACAATCGCCAGGGTTCCGCAGCCTGCAGAAGGTGTTCACACCATCACCTTGGGGGCTAGCAATCCACCGCAAGGCCCTTTCAATGATCGCGGTGACGATGAATCGTTGTCACAGCCGCTCTTGAACACAAGCGATTCGGAAGCCGTAACAAGGTATCGTATCACGGAACTCTGCAAAGCCGAACCAGACCTCACGGAATTCTTGACTGATCCGAATATCAAGCTTCTGATTGAAGGCATCCGTGGCAACTATAATCACCTGGAGGCCAAAATCACCGAGATCAACTCCTGCGAGACAGAGAGACAGGTCCAGGATGTCATTAAAAATACCACCGTCGACTTAGACAGAGTGCAAAAAAACAGGCTCAAGGCTCTTGACATATCGCTGAGCACGGATCAGGTCAAAAAACTCAATGAGCTTCTCGTATGGGTCGCCGGTGTGAGCAACGGACCCACGATCAAGTTTCTCCAAAGCGCTCTGTACTTGAAATTCCGTGAAAACTTTCGGCTGGAATCTGAGGTCCGAAACACATACTTGGCTTTGCTCAAGACCGATGAAGACGGCGTCGTGACTTTCAAGTCCGACGAGCTTATTAAGATCCTCAGAGAGAATGATTCCCAAGACCCCGGGTCTGATGTCGCGGACCTCTACACTCAAGAGATCACTCCAGCGGAGATCGGCCTTTGTCGCCGATTCATCAAGAATGCCTGCGATACAGTGGATTACACCAGATTTAAATTCGACGATTTCTTCGACAACATGGTACACAAAGCGCACATTCATCTCTGCGATGAGAACTCTGTGAACTTCACAGTCTTCTGCTCATGCATCAAGGTCCTCAGTGAGACTGGAAACGACACCAATCTCGAGAAGCTTTGCAATTACGCTTCCATATGGTTCTACGAGCACCTCAAGACCCTCGTGGAGAACTTCGAGACATTCGAGCCCAGCAGGCAGTCGCTGAGCGCAACCGGGCGCGAGCTTGTTAACTTGTTCTACGACGCTGAGTTGATTGACGTGTGGTTCTCCAAAACGAATCTCGGCTGTCTGAAGTACGATTGGCTTTACCGCGATGAGTTCATTGACCCTTTGACAAAGTTTTGGAAGAACCCGCATGTAGCGAAAGGATATGCGAAAGACATAGAGAAGACTTCGTGGGTGAAAAAAGTCACTGCGGAATCAGTGAACAAGTATATGATCCTCGAGCGAGTAGCAACACGACTGGCACAACATTGGTTCAGCTGCACAGGAACAATGGATGATCAGTATCTCTGGACATCCTTTGGTCTTGTGGCCAAGGTGAGTTGCGCCTTTCTTTCGTTTTAATGCTTGGTTAATGATCGAGTAAGGGTGCGGGCAAGGCTTTTGAGGACAAGTCCCCCTCTCTCCTGGAGATTGATGTTTTTTTTGAGTGGGTCAAGAACAAGAATTTCGAGATCGAAGACCAGACCTGGGCTTACCGCAAGGGTTCTTTCTACCTTGCGTTCGAACACCACAGAGAAGCCATCAGTAAGTACGAGAAAGTTGGAGAGCAATCAGAAATTGGCTGGGGGGTGGTTCTGGGTATGTCACGAGCGCATGAAGCGCTGAAAGAGTTCGAAACAGCACTGCAAGACATACAAAGGTTCAAGTCATTGAAGAACAGGTTCTTCCAGGCTGAAAAAGAATACAAACTCGCATATTGGGATGTTCTACTGGCCGAAGGCAATTGCAACAAGCAGAGCCATGACTACGAGTCCGCTGCCAAGTGTTACAAAGATATCTTGGACCAGGAAGTTGAGGAAGAACTGTGGCCAGGACAGGTGCACACAGCTGCACTTTTAGGTCTCTTCATAGCCTGGAACGAGGTGAAGAACTATTGCTTGATTGTGGACTTCATGCGCAGCTGGAAGAACGCCACAGCCAAAGACCGGGGTCCAGCTTACTGGCTACAGAAGGTTACGTACGATGACAACTTCCATGGGCACGTCGCGACAGCAGCAAAACATACCGATGCTGTGGATGAGCTGTGTTTGCTCTATCAGGAAGTGATTGACAGCCAGCCAGCGAAGCTAACCACGGCCGATGAGCAAGACAACAGAGTCTCGCGCTATACCAAAGGGCAATTGCAATACTACCAAGCCGTTCTTCGATTTCATGGAAGTCAATCTCAGAATAATCAACTAAGAGGCATGCAGTCTTGGGAGGAGATCGTACAGAGATCCGATGAGCCATTAATGTCCTGGTTCACAGCATACAGCGCCAGTAGGAGACTAGCTCGGTCTCTCCTCGACAAGGCAGCCACTGCAGCTTCTTCAGAACTTTCCGGGAGCTACATGAACAGGCTTGAGACGCTTGCCAAAATGAACAACAGGGTTATTCGCGACCTTCGTCAGGGCCAGTCTGACCCTCGTCTCTGCTTATTGAGACTTTACCATCTTAAGAGCGACCAGTCGTTAGCTTTTGCGGAGGCACAGAACCGACTTTGTAGTGTGTTCGACCAGTGGCCTGGAAACGCAGACGACGACTCGCTTCAGCTGCGGTTCCAGAACCTCGCACAGACCTTGACTGTCCTCGACAAAGACGTTGACGCCATTGCAGTGTGGCAAGCAGTAGAGCCCAAAAATTCACAGGATCCCGTTTCAGCGGATGCGAAAGTATCAGACTCCCAACAACCAGCAAGCTCATGTTCTGATGTTTCAGAGTCGAATAGTGCGCCAGTCCCGCTTGAAGACAAGATCAATGGAGCGACAGACACGCCCATCTCAGCGAAAAACACGCCCAAAGCATATATATCTGGCTATACATGTGATGGATGTGACGAGACACAGTGGAAGGATATGTTGGCTGATTGTTGGGTGTGCAAAAACTGTCTTTGCGTGCAGCTGTGCCCACCTTGCCACGAGAAGCTTCAGGCCGACAATGGGCACCCTCTAGTCTGCAACAAGGAGCACAAGATCATCTACCTTCCTCCATTCGAGAAAGATCTGTGGCTGGGCCTGTCGTCAGGAATGATGATCGTCAACAAGAAGCCGTATCTCGTCTGGAGTGGTTGAACAAGATCCGCGATGAGTACAAGGTGCAACAAGAGCAGATTGATATTCTCAAAATTGAGAAAGCGAGGGAGCTGAAGGCTGCCACTTGTATCGCCAAGCATATCTTGCGATGGCGAAGGAGACTGCTCCTACTAAGGGCTGCGAAACAAGCGAGACAAGCGAGACAATCGGGACCCCCTACACTCCGTCGAGCTCAGACGGCGAGGTAGATCGTGTAATTCCAAAGCAAGATACCATATATGCAGCGCAGAAATCAGCAAGCGGAACCGTCAGGAGCGGAAAGTTCAGATATTTGTGGTCAAAGGCTATCCATTATGTAAGACCGCTGTGCACCCTTCTCATCATCCAAGAAGATTTTGCGCGTGTTGGATGGCCGCCTGCGGAGGAGTTTGATGTCGTTGGGTTGGGTTCGGCGAGCTTGGTCTCGCATGATGAGGAGGACCACCTTGTGGGTCTTTCATATATGGCGCCGCAGATTTACGCATTGCTTGGGGGGCCAGAGTGGGAGAATTCCGCTGTTGATGGGGTTGCTATACAATAAAGACTGCTATGGCCTGGCACTTAGAGCTTTATCAAACGATAACCTCGAGAGCCTCTACGCTTGATGTGGCAACGCCAGTTCAGGGAACATCCACATCGACGACACTGATTCCGATAGCAAAGTCAGGCCCTGAAACATAAGACTGGAGATAGAATCCTGATTTTGCGGCGCTGAAGTTTGTCAATGCCGCTTGTAACTGTGTGAGCAGTGTCGGTCGGAGACCGTGATCAACGAGTGTATTGCTATCTGTTGTCGTGTTGTGATGTTCTGTTTCAGAAGCTCTCAGCTCTAGGGTAAGCGCACTTGCCCACCGGGCAGTACCTGCTAAATAGGATATCATGTGATCTAAGCCATGTGGTTACACCGCTTGACCTCGTGGCACCGCTAAATGGTATTGCTCGCTGTGCACAAGGCTTATACGTTGACAAAGTTGCGATAGTTCATTCGAAGGGATTACACTACGCTGAGAAGTAATCTGCAAGAAAAGGACGCTGTCAGATTAGATGCACTATCGTCTCCTTAGCTTGCGGGATCCGCTCTCGACTCTTCCAATCAATACCTCGCATTGGCCATTTATCCCATCAGCTGCATCTGATCTGTTGGCGGCCACCTGGTCTGCGCAAAGCTCAGGCACCTCTTGATACTCTGCAAGTACTTCCTCGTACTCTCGTCGCTCAAAATGTGCGCAGAGTTCTCGTTCTCGTGTAGCTTCTCTCGCGCACTGCGCTCGTGGATACCAACCATGGTGACTCCGATCGGCCACGCAGCGTTACCAATACTGAGTCTAAGGTAGCCGTCGTTTGCATCGACATATCGTCGCTCTTGTGCCGAGTGTACGATCTCCACAACAGGTTGGAGTATGCTGTCAGGAAGGTCGAACTTCTCTAGCTTCTTGAACAACGGCCGCATGTTCTCTCGCGCTTGTACCATGGCAGCGTATGCTTGCTTGCCCTGATAGCTCTCTTTGACATCTGCGTCTCGCAACGCCAGCGTAACATCCCATTCCTTGAGGACCATTGTGAAATAGCTTGCTAGTTGTCTGAACAGGAATCTGCGCGCTTCGGCGTCCTTGGGTATATGAAGCCCCACTTTCATATCCTTCTCCGGCACAAGCTGCAGCGTGGTAGGTATTGGACCGTCGGTCACAATCGCTGCCAGACTATCTGCGCCTATGCGTTTTTTGTAGCGCTTCAGGCGCTGCTTGTGTGTCTCGCCGAAAAGTCGTACCGGTTCGTTAAGGGTTCGTAACCTCTCGATAAGGTCCTCTTCGGGTATGTCCCCATCCTCAGGCACTGGCATACCCTCCTCGCCATCCTTTTGTTTGGGTGGCAGATCAGGTAACCCTAAGCGTTTTCTCCTCTTGCTTTCCTCGGCCTCCTCTTCCTCTTCCCTTATGCGCCGGGACTCTTCAGCAAGCCGCCTGCGCTTCTCTTGCCTCTCAGTTTCTCTCTCTACCTCTTTTTCATCTGCTTTCCGCTTCTGGGCTAGTTTTCCCCGGCGCGCCTTCTCCTCGGCCTCTTGCTCTGCGCGGTAAGCGGCTTGTCTTTGAGCCTCAATCTCGCTGCGCTTGAGGTACTTCTTTTCACTCGCAGGGGCTGGTGAAGCACTTTCCTTCCCTTTCTTGATCTGCGCTGACATCAGCTTTGCAAAGTCCATAATGCCGATAGGTGACGTTTGGTTGAATTATGGGAAAGTTCGAGCCTTCGATTTCGACATGACGCACCCGCCAAGATGCGCTAGTGGAGCTTGAGCTTGACGCGTGCCATTCCTCAGCTCCACCCGCTCGCTCAATTGTCGATGAACAACAACATCAACATGGCTGCTCAGATAGATCGAGAGACGACGACACCGTTCTTATTAAAGCTCTTTTACAAGCAAGGAGCTTATCACAGGTGCGCTGAAGCCTGAGCCCCCAGTAACCCACAGCACATTGATATCTCGCTACAGACTAGACGAATTCGACCCAGCACTGCCACGTCTCCCCACCCACCTTCAGATCTACACATGGCAAAGCTGCACATTACGCGAGCTTTGCGGTCTCTTCTTTGGCGCCTTGCCTAGTCTGTTGCCGCAGCCATATGCCGGCACACGAATCGCGTTTCGTCTCGTCTATCCCGATATACAAGGCTCCAACCGACCTGGCGCACAAGGACGCTATATCTGTCGAGATATCGGGTCTGTCATAATAGGTGCACGTACCGCCAATGATGAAAGCGATACGGGCGACAGCGACACGGCAACAGTGACCGAGGCGCTGAAGCAATTGAATGGCGATCCAGATAAAACCCTGGGCGACGCCAAGTTCCTGATAGGAGACTATGTCACATGTGCAGTCCTGCCACCGTTGTCTGACGGTAGTGTTCCAGCAGCTCCGCCACCTGCATCCGGTCCAGGACGAGGTGCACCAGCAGGAGGGTATGGCGGACGTGGTGACTTCGGCTTCGGTCGTGGAGGAAAAGGAGGAAGATATGACGAGAGGAGACCGTTTGACAATAGGAGACCTAGCAGAGGTGTTCCATCAGGCGAATGGAGGCGAGGTGAAGCACCACCGGAGCGTGAGCCTGGCTCCGGCAGAGGAGGAGGTGGTGCTGGTGCTGGAGGGCTAGATGGTAACTGGCATGGACGAGGAAGGGGACGATGGTGATATGGCTTAGAAAAGCACGCCAGCCCAGTATTGGGCACGATAGAACTGCGGCGTGCCCTTATTGCCGTAGCACGCCGTACTATCAGTCCACGACCCTCGACACGAAGTTTCACGGACCATGAGCATAAGCACGGAGTAGGAACAGTGTTATAAGGTCAACGCACCAGCTATGCTATCTGGAGCCGACCTTCGAGCGTCCGTTGAAGAGCACATCTGGACCTCATCCCGTGGCGCCCACATCAAGCTGAGCTCGAGCCCTTTCGAGGTCACAGTCCAAGCACGATCTTGATCCGAGCCCACTATTGATGTGGCGAGATCTCAAGACTGTGGGATGATGCGCTCAGATCCGTCATCGTCATCGTGGCGGAGATTACGGGACGGGATAGGAAGACCTCGAGACCAGAGTCGCACGTGGAATGCGCATCTTAGAAAGCATGCCAGCGTATCACTCATGACTTTAGGAGTGGCTCTCTGAGACTACAGTTTATGCATGCTAATGGCAACAGATAGACAATAATGATCACAATAGAAAGCCAGGCTCATGTGGCCCAGTCTTGCGCTTTAAGACGCTTGATACCAACGAGTCAACTCCACCTAGCTATTCATCATGAACTCGGATTCATCAATCGACTTTCACAGAATCAGCGGTCGGCTACGTTACGTTGGGATAATCAAATCATCAGTCTCGCCGTGCCATGCAAGCTACTTCTTGTTCAGGTCGATGGACCCGCTTTTAGGATGAAGTGGAACCTAGCCTTTTTATTGAAATGAGCAAATCCTTAGCAGTCGATCACGCTCACTGGCGTTTACAGGCGCATACCTATTCAACAAATGTTACCACTTGGAGTCAGTCCATTACATCACGCATTGAGACTGCACGCCCTCAACGCGCTTCCTACAGCAAAGTGGTGTGGGTAGCGACAGCAACGCATCCCGACCTTCAAATAATCATACCCTAGAGACGCATTGTGGTGCTGTCAGACTTGGTCCGCCGCCCAGCGCGCGCCTCTGGTCCAGCGAGTCTTTACTATCAGTCACAATCAGACGGGGGATGGCGCGGCAATGATGTGGGGACTTCGGCGATGTTCACTATTGTTTACTCGGACAGTTATCATCACGTCCGTCATGATGCTCGACTTGGGTCAATATTGCATGCATCAGTGCACGTACGTTTCAAACAAACACGTCTCTGCGACCTACGAAAGGAGCCGTGCCAATAGCTGTTGGTACCGTCATTGGTGTGTCGTTGTTGCTTTCACGCCACTCGGTTAGCACGGCGATGCAGCTGTGTACCGCGATTTGGTACTCACGCGTATTAACATCAGAAACACTAGCTGACGCGATGAACCAGGGACCTTGATGTATTTCTGCAGTGCATGTAAGAACACAGCGCGGCTGTGGCGAAGACCACAGGTCGTTGAAACAGCGTGACCGCAGCAACAACAAAGGAACTGAGTACGCACGGCCTTGAAGAAGATATGCCAACCTCAATCCGTCGCCTAGATAGCTCCTGCAGGGCTGTGGCTGCACCGCAACTAGCCTCGATGCTGCTATCTTGGTCGCCACGGAGCACAAACGCGTTGCCGATCTTAGCATGTATACAATCCATGTCGTTTTAGCCCTGTCAATGTACGCTAGTGCCATCAAGCTTGTCTGATTAATGTTGATTGCGGATTGGTAGGCGAAATTTGGAGTAGCCATCGATGACTTCCCCACGCACGAAGATGTTGGAGGCCTGATGATACATGTGCTCCACAATGCCCTGGCGACATGGATTTCACGGAGCCATTTGAAGCCGGTCTTGGCTCGTTATTTTGGTGTTCGTGAATAGCGACGAAGCGTCAGAAATGAGACTTTCGCTAACGAAGACGTAGTCGTCGTCAATGAGGCTGTATGTGTCGATTGCATCAGGTTAAGTCGCTGAAAATTACTGCGAACAGCGTAATCGCTATTCCCACGGTGTCGAACAAAGCAAGTCTCAGCCTTGAGGCACTCACTGGGGCAAACTGTGCCGTACTAGAGCAGATGAAGTATCCTTGCAAGCTCGTCCCGCTGAGTTCATTGTCTCACCACATTTGGTACCTGACCATCCTGCATTCGAGCCTGCATGGATAGACTGTATATGTGCGGCATACAGGCTCGAATGCAGGATAGTCAGGTACCGAATGTCTGGATACCTACTCACATCTGTAGTGTGTTGTCTACCGATCGACGGCTGGAACAGTCCCTCACACTTGGCCCCACTATGTGAGGTACGGGCCTGTATCCAGTGCTAATCTTCATATAACATCATGTGTGCCCACCGGCCAAAGATGCCGCTCAAATCATCACCACACACATCAGCAAAGACTTGCTTAGAGCCATTCCATCACATATACTATCTCTACCATCTACGGGACGGTTCAGTAGGTTTAACTAGCCAAGACGTGCATGGCACAGCTAATCGGTCCGACAGCTCTGCCATCTACGCAATGGAACAGCCAAATTCTGCTCCTTACGTGTCTAGTCCCTATTCTAACATGGTGGATCTGCCTTCTTCCCACATGCTGTTCCGTCCTGCGTCAAACGGTCCGACTACACCAGACTCTCGCCAGCACTCGTTCGATGAGAGCTCGCTCTTCAGCACCGTGCCTCAGGAGATTTTGAACTTCCCAGTGTCCAGAGTCGTGGAGAGTTCGCTCGATCCACGGCTCATGGATATGCCAGGCACTGTGAGCCCGGGATCATCGAGGAATTCCATGAGCCCATCTCAAGGAATCGCAACACCACCATCCGACGGATTATATTTGCCACCCTACCCTGAACAATTACAACTCCCTCCATATCAGCTCCTTGAGCAACCGCTACCATTCCGATCATGTTCGACAAGCCACCCCAATTGGGCGAACAGTGGCGGTGACTGGGAACGCACCTACGCTGAAAACGATCTCTGGAGTACTCAGCCCTTCGTGGCACAAGCTTGGGTTCCTGGCTTGTATGATGGATATGCTCCATCCAACATGCAGCCCAGCCACGCACATGCAAGCAATAGCTCCTCCTTTCCTCCATTCACATCTGCTGTGCCGAGTCAATTTCCGTTACATGAGGCTGTTCAGCCGAGAGCTGCCGCGGACTCGCCTGCCGGTGAAGATGACAACGAGGATGCAGACTCCTCTGACGAAGAGTCTGACTGGGATGAAGAGGTATCCGACTATAGCCATTCTGGATCATCGTCGTCGAAGTCGAAGACAAAAACCAAACCACCTTGTGTGCGGCAAGATAGATGGATGGTCCCGACCAGCGCCATACAACATTTGGAGACACGAGGCTACGCATGCAACGTGCCAGGATGTACCACAGCTTTCGTTCGACCGGAACATCTTCGAAGACACATCAGGTCCAAGCACAGTGACGTAAAGGAATATATTTGCGTCGTACCTGAATGCAAAACCAACCCGTTCTCGCGGGGCGACAACCTGCGTGATCACTACTGGACACATGTCCAGCGCGGCGGCCGCAATGGAAAGAACACAAAATTTACGCTCCAAGAACTTAGGGCGATACTAGGGCCAAAGGAGAGGAAGCTGATGAAGGTACTTCGCGAAAAGCTGAGACGCCACCAAGTAAAGGAGCAACTGAAGAAGGAGCAGCGGCCAACACGGTCAGCGTACGCCGCAAGTTCCATGTAGCATTCATTCTGAATCATTTCGGGTTTCTAGACTTTTAGAGTCGGTGTTGAGGAAGTATGTGATTTTATTAGTTACATGTTTCATGGGATATTGGGTATATACAGGCGTCATATAAGATTCTAAATGAACATTCCACCACACACCAACTTTCTCTCTTACTCCCGGGGATGCTTAGACATTTACACCGATGTCTGAAGGCCTTGCTCAGTACGTCAAGTTTGCAACACCGTCAAGATACATCACATGGCTCGGTGAGTGTCATCGCCGACGATACCAGCTGTCGGTGAGCATTCACCCTAGTTGCGGTATCGCGGTCTGGTTCACTACGAAGTAGTATGCTTACTCACAGCCAAAATTGCGCCCTCCCCAATCTCGAGGCTTAGAGTCGTGCCACACAATAGGCGGTGTGCTACACGAATCGTCAACGGCTGACGTTCCTTCACTGCGCCTTCTGTGCCTCGCATCCCCCTTACCAATTTTGAATTTCTATGGAAAGTACACGTCATTGGTCCAAAGGTCTCGTCTCGGCTATCAAGCGACATGACTGCCCCGTTAGCCGCCGTCACTGTGCGAGATTGCGGTACTGCACGATGCCCGTGCGGTGCCGCGGTGAATGAGAAATGACTTGACGATCAAGGACAGGCCTACGACGGTGAAGCTGTTTGAGAGCAAACAGGTGGTCCTTACGCATTGATCGCACGATCTTAGTACGAAGCTTGACCTTACCGGTGACTCCAAGGCAAGCGAGTTCCCAAGCTTTATCCATACCGTACTACACTGAAAAAAGGCAGTCGCATTAGATGTTGACGAAAATACACAGCAGTGGCACATGGGGCTCGATTTTAGAACGAAGGTTGGCTTTGCCGCAAGGATGCGATTGATGCTTTCCCCCGACGTCACTAATGCACCTCATCATCTGCACGCGTCAATGTGCCTGATCACACACGAGATAACTGCATGTACCAGACAACGAAATCGCGCCAGTTCCTTCAGGATCAGGCGAGAATGCCATTGGCGGGGTGGCTTGAGCGGCGCAGCACGTGGCGCTTATAACATCCACAAAGGAGTTTTCGCGAAGGCGACCAAACATTGGCAACGCGCTTTTTGTGGAAGCTCTGCTCCGTTCTTCCCGTGAAGTCCGGCTGCAGTTATCGTACGCCACGTTCTTGCGTGCATGAATCCATGCGGAGGTGGTGTTGGCCTTCCGCTGATTGACAGGGCCCCCTGAAACGGGCTGCAACTTGGTCTGCAATGCAGTCTGTGTGTGCAGAGGATCACTCATATCCTGGCTGGGTTCTTACTAATGTCGTGCGTCTGATAGACGCCGCAGGCTCGTTTAAGCCGCGTTTCTGCAGATCACGTTGAGCTCGTGATCATGCAGGCAGCCGACTTCGTTCTTGCCTACTCTTTGTGGTGACGAGCGTATTGAAATATCGTTCCGTTTTTTATTCCCACTGCATCGTTTGGAGAATTGGCGATGAGTTCGATTGATCGATTGATCGATCCGAAAGCTACCAAAGATTCTCCGTCCGTCGACCGAAACCTTGGAAGCGAAATCCTCAGCCTTATCATTTTCCGCATTCGTACAGATAGTCAAGAGAATGATGAATTACATCCTAAAGCAGAAGACCGTCAACCTAGCAGCACGTCTGTTTGTCCTCCAACGCCGTGGTGACGCAAATCTGATTCCGCAGTGCCTTACTGTTCACAACATCGTCAGCTCGTATCACTACAGATCAGAAGCCAAGCTGTTAGCAGTTGTCAGATTAATCCTTCAAGTTTCTCCAACTCATCCCAGGCTGTGCCGGCTATGCCGCGGTGGTCAGTGCCTACCTTGCAATTGAACGCAGATGTGCGGCGCGTAGCTCTGTATGCGCCGTCCTCAATCGCCTGTCGATACTTGCCTCTTGTCGTTCAGATCTCTACTTCCAGCTTTGCGCTTCGAATCGGCCTTCCAACAGACTTGTCTACTCCACATTCGTAGTTTGGCCGGTGTGTAAAGGGTGCACAGATGTCAGGACCGGTGGAGGACATTCGGAAATATGCCGGGGTACGCGTCTTCTGCAAGTGCCGCTCAATTTTCATGTCTCTCTGGTATTCACGTTGCCTGGTATGTGCCTAGCTGGTAACCGTCGTGAATGTCCTCTACTGTCCGTGACCGCCTGAAGTTTGGGACTGTAGATGGCTTCTACCTCCCATCTCCAGATACAACATTGCGAACATCGCGTGCAAGGATCATCGAGTGTATTGGTGGTGACTGGTTGTGTGATCTAGAAATAGGTCCAACCACATTCATATGCGTAGCGGCTGCAGGCACTCCGCCTCAACAAATGTCAACTACACTACCAACGTTAGGCGACGATAACTGTCAAGATCGTCGACGACTAATTTTGCTACCAACAGTTTTTTTATTACAGAGTATACGCGAAGCCTGCAATGATCTATGTCTGGTTTAATGCGCTGCTACCATGCGATGCCTGTTTGCAATGCCCTCTTGATGAAGTCCAACATATGCGTTTGCCGTGCCTCGCAGGGGCAATAGACGTAGATGTGACACGCCACTGCATTGTGGAGGCGGGGCTTACAGTCCAGACATGTGTTAAGCGGAGAAATGTGCTTGACCCAATTATTGCCCTCCACTGACCTTAAAGATGAAGCGCCAGAACCATTGTCGTGGGCTCATATGACTCGGCTTTATCGTCGCGACTTTCAACCGCACCTGAAGAGATCATCAAGGTCCTTGCCTTGGCCCTCAGCTGCCATCGCTGCGCTTGGCCGCGAATCGGAAGTAGTGGCACTCCGTCACCGTGCGGCAGGACGCTTCTCGAAGCCTATCGTCCACTCACACGCAGTCGAGCTCACACCAGTCGAGGTAAGAACTATCAACATCCCCATGCCCACGAGATCAACACGCCATTTTCTAATACCCTGGTCGTCCTCGTATCTGCATGGGTTCCGAGAGGGGAAGATCATGGACCAAGGCAAGTCGGTGCCTCAGGCTTGCAGCCGACTGCTAGCATCTCAAAAAAAAAACGCGCATACCTCTGTCACAGAAGGACAGTGCAGACCTTGCATCTGCACGAAAATGGAGCACGATCCAACTGAACTGGGACAGCTCGCCTTGTTGCTTGCGATGCCTTGAGGGGACAATCGTTGACAAGGTAGGTATCCGAGACATTTGAACAAAAAAATTGAGCTGCCACTTGCTGTCCAGCCTTGAGGCTTCTGCCCGCGTTCGAGAACTTCTCACACGCATAAATTTAGCACGTCTTGCGTGTGCATGGTAAGGAAATTATTTCAAAGTCCCTCAACGTAAGGGTAGACGACTCGCGAGTCCGCCATTGTGCGTGATTGCAGATAGCATATCCACTGATATGCTGTTCGAAAGATGGAACCAGCTACGGCCACGGCCTTAGAGCCAGTCCATTTTACGCTCTCTCTATCTTCAAGCATCTGGCCCCATCGATGTGCCCATCCCAGACTGCTTTCAATGATGTGATGGCGATGTAGTGCCCATGATACTTCTTCCAGTAGCTGTTATCTTTAGTGCAAGTTGACCATAGAAGTAAGAAGATATGCAAGCTCCTATTGGGGCCTCAATGGGGCTTTATTCAACGTTGCGACTCTACTCTGAACATCCGAAGCCTCGCGGTAGGTCTGTTGATATGTCGAAAGTTATGCAAAGCTGGGTATACGTTTGGCGATGACCGTCAACTTGTGCACGTTGTGTAGACGTCGCAGTGGTCAGCGGATCGTAGACCATCAGTCGTAGCTCCCTTGAACGGTCGAAGAACCGAAACAGAGTTGGGCTTGTGTTCGTTATGGCGATACCGTGTTACCGTGAGTAATCACTGGGACATCTTGAAGCGTCGGTAGATGAGCGCAGTGCTGCTTTCTGTCGCTGGGGGACCCTAGCGCTTTGCTGCTAGACAGTAAGGTACAAGTGAAGATTTATTGCGAAGCCATAGCATCGGGGTCGCGACCACTGTCTTCGCTGCTACCCTGCCGAATGTTTACTGTCTTCATAGACACCCATGTTCTGATGGAGTTGCCTTTGCTCGAGGCTAGCCCTCGATCCTCCGTCAACTAATTTCTGCTTATATGCAGGCGCTTTTGGATCACTTGAAGTGCTGGACCTTCGCCGTTGTTCGAACTGTGAAGTCTATGCTTCCAGTTCCTCAGCACATCGCCGCCCCCTCAACTAATACTTTGCGAGGATCAGTGAGGGATCATGAGGGTACGGAGCGTGGCGCAACAATTCAAGAGTAATTTGCTATTGTCTCTCTAATATCTCTGCTGCTGAGGCCTCGGCAGAGTGCCTGAAACGCGCGTAGACTTTGATAATACATCGATCGGCTGATCCATAGCAAAATTTGCAGTCGTGAGAGATAGGAATGCTCGCTTTCGCGAGATGTGTGTTGAGGCAGGAACACTGGTGCAGGTCTCGAAACGAATGATTCTCGCTAGCGTGAAAGTACCTACGGTACCGGTAATCGGTCCGAGTGGTCCCCTCTTCCCTCCCCATTGTGCCATATGCGATTCTCGCCAACTCGCCATCTTGTTCTACAGAGCTTTTGTCATCTCGACATTGGAACGATCACTACATGCATCGTTTTCTTTTCCGTACTCCAAACCGGACGTGATGCCTCACAGTGTCCTTACCAGTGCTCTTGACGAGAGTTGTGGCACGTTAGATAAGCACAAATTGAGAGAGCTGCTCACCCCCGCCTTCTGCCCCGATGGTTTCTCGATGGATGACGCGATACAATGTTGGAGCATCATAGTGATTGAGTGGATGCGCTGTTGAGCTGGTACCAAGACTGTCTCGCAGATTGTGTTTAGCGCCAAGTCTCAAACAGAACTATGTTTGTTCCAAACGCGCTCTCTGTCTCCAGGCTTCGAGGCATCCGACCATTATCGCATGCAAATCCATTCGCCGGAAGAGAGCCGTCCGGATCTGCCTTTTGTGCCCGAGGCCGGTTCCGTGACACAGGTCCTGTCGCAGACCTATGGTTGACATTCCCGGAGGTGCCACTCAAGCCTCACATTTGTCGGCTAAGCTTTTTGAATTGACAGTCCTCAAACGATCTGCCAATGATAGGCGCTGCGTAGCCTGATATTAGCGCTTCGGTCTGCTTGTTATAGCTCAGTCTCTTGGGTCTGAAGCTTGGCCGTATTGAAGTTGGCCGGAACCTTTTGTGCGCCAACTAGACCTCCGGCAACTCACCATCCGCAAGGGTGTGGCGCACCACTGCTGTCCTCGATTAGCAGTAGATCATGGATCTACTGGCTGGATGTGAGACGACACTACATTGTTACAGGCTGTGAATAGTATATATCGGCTGCGCCAGTTGACGAATTGTATCACTTCTTGTTGCCGGAAGTGTGGTGAATCCGGCCCATAGTATGCCTTGTATAATATGTGCCCGATCGCCTGTCAACCAGGGCTTTTGTAAGGGCGCATGATTCTGATATCTGTCGATCATATCAATAATCGTACACAGTATTCGTTATGCGTGTTAGCATTGTCTACTTGGCTGCGCTCATCACAAGCTTCACCACAGCAGCTCCGGTCGGTAAGCGACAGTCTGGTCTCTCGCCGAATGGCAACTACTTCCCACTTCAAAATGGGTTTCCCAACCCGGACAGGGACGGCGAAATCGCCATCCAAGATGGGGCTCATGGCACTTTGCCAAACGGACCGCCACCTCCAGCGCTCAGTGCCGAGGGCGTCACCAACCTCAAGCTGATTGCCCTGAACGAGCTATTCGAAGTAGCTTTCTTCACGGAACTCATCTACAACGTCACGAATAAGGTTTCTGGATACGATCTGGGGATGGGGCATGACTACATGCTCGACTCATTGAAAGCCATTGTCAATCAAGAAGAGCTACACGTGCTCAATGCCAACGGCGCGCTCGAGCACTTCAAAAAAGAGAAGATACAACCATGCAAATACAACTGTAGGTCACGCAGCGGGTGTTGAATGTTCATTGCTAACATCACCTAGTTCCAGTCACAGACTTTCAGACCGCTATCGCACTAGCTGGCACGTTCACAGATGTCGTCTTGGGTACTCTGCAAGACGTGAACCAGATTTTCGCCAAGAACCAAGACGATGGACTCGTTCGGGCGGTGACATCCGTCGTCGGTAATGAGGCAGAGCAAGAGGGTTTCTTCAGACTAATGCAAAAGAAACGGCCATCCTCCCAGCCCTTCGTAACGACAGCGACTCGCGACTTTGCGTTTACTGCCATTCAGGATTTTGTTATTGAGGGTTCTTGCCCCAATATTGGCACCATCCCATTGAAGCGCTTCAAACCGCTCACGGTGGAGACGAAGACGATCCCGGCTGAGAACCAGAACGTCAAGTTCTCGTTCAACGCGAAGGATGCCGGCATGTATGATACCAATGATATGCGTCTGACTTACCTCAATGGTCAAAACCAGGCCATCGTCAAGAAGTTCGAGAACATCAAGATGGAGGGTGGTAAGGTGTTCTTTGAGGCAAACTTTCCGTACGATGATTTTCTCATGAACGGTTTGACCATCGCCGCGGTCACTATTGGCGCAGATGAATTTGATAATGCGGACAAAATGGCCGAGGCTGCGGTGTTTGGGCCAGGGCTTATCGAGATCGACTAAGCTCGTTCCGTGTGAAGGGCGGCTGATTGCTGCATTCTTTTGTTGCATAGCGCTGGCGTTGTCCTCTTCTTACGCCTCCTAAATACCCTCGCCCAATGTATAATGTAACCACGTGGCTCGGATCACATGATATTCTATTTTAGCAGGCACTGCCCGGTGGGCAAGTGCACTTACCTGAGAGCTGAGAGCTGAGAGCTTGAACAACACAACATCACACAACACGACAACAGATAGCAATACACTCGTTGATCACAGTCTCCGACCGACACTGCTCACGCAGTTACATATAATGTTTACATCAATTCAAATCTTGATGGCTTTTCGAATGGTCCAGGAAGTGCATTCCCGTCAATGTCGAATATCGGCTTCAGCTCGCTTGTTGACCATGTGACAGGGTTCTCTGGTAGGTTCCATGTTGGCAACTTGATCGCGCTGCCCATACTTCTCAGAAAATCCTTGATCGAACTTGGCCACTCTGGATCATTCCATACGTCGAACACAAGTTTCATGTATTCCGTATCGGGCACTTCGCTCTGCCGCAGGTACATCAGAGCTACGCCAAGAGGGAAAGATACGGCAGATGGCCCGGTAACGCCATTGTCCTTTCTAAAAAGCCAAGCGACTGATCGCACAATGAGACGGGCGAATGGTCGGCCATGAGGACGATTGAGATAGGGTGGGAGAGTGTCGTTCACCGAGAATCGCAAAGCACGGTCAAGACATTGGTACAGTATGGTTGCTGTTATCCAGTAGCGAAGGGATATCGATGCGACGCCCAAGTTTGGAAACTCGAGTGGAATAGGTGCTTCAATATCTGGCGTGTACACCTCGTGGGAATTCTTTGCAATCCATGCGTTGAGGTTGCAGTGCACCGCCCAGCACTCCGCTGTCGCCTTGAGTCTCAGAGGATTGAATCGCTTATCGTCAAGTGACATGCAGTCCAGGTAATCCAATTCTGCAAGAATCCCTGGCAGCTCCAGGAGGGTGTCGATGATGGTATCACTTGCAGTCTTCACTCTTCCTTGCCACGGAATCGTCTTCCATTGCTCCTCGTTGAATACAATTGGCTTCCGTGACCGGATTCCGGTAATGGCCTGATAATAGGTCAGCAGAGACACAGATTATGAATCTAGATCGTCTTACGGAATCATAGCGTGCAAGTGTAAATATGAGATGTGCAGTGTCGGTGGTGAATGCTTGAGGTCCCCGCGAGACTATCAGAGCGATTTCGCCTTGTGCATGGCTCATCCAGTTCCGTGCCTGTTGTGAGATAGTTTCGTCTGCGTCAGCTCCATATAGGATTTCGTAGAGCCCCATAAGCCTAGTCGTAGCGAGGAGGGCCTCGATCGCTCGTCGGTTGGGGTTCTGCAGCGACATCCTTAGCTCCTGCAGCGCCTTCCCATACAGCATCCGCCCTCTGCGGAGCACAACCTGGTTATTGGATCCCTTTCCGAGTGTGACTAACCCGACAGCGAAGATCGTCTGGCGCAGTGCCTCTTCTCGCACGCTCAGAGTCGCTAGGAGCTTTGAAAACTGATTGACCAGTTGCAGGGCGCCTCCTGCATCTTGATGCGCAGGAAACAGGCCGAAGACAGCCTCCATACTTTTCATACTGAACGCCGTCTGAGCCAGAGAGGGAGGTATCGCGTGGTAGGTAGAAGCCGTAATTGCCACCAGATCCAATGTAGGGTCTCGCCGTTGCACAACGCGCACGCTAGCCGGAGGTGATAGAGGCTCATACTTGCTAGTAATGAAGACGCGATCCAAGTCGTAGCCTCCACATTTGATCTTCCGCTCAAGGCATTGGCCGCATGCAGGACGTTGCAGGTCGCACTGCGGCTCTATCAGTATGGCTGGGCGAAGCCACAGCCGTTCGGTGCATCGTGAAGGTATACCCGGTTCAACTTACTCCCTTCTTCCTTTTTCTGCATGTCACGCAGCCTTTGGACCTTCCAGGGACGCCCACCATCGTCGCAGATTATCGTGCTGGCAGGATGAGTAGCAGCGCAGAATCTTCCGCATTCGGGCATTCATCGTATTTCAAGACCTATGCTGTCAGATAAGCACAGGCCTCAGAGGCATGAGCCGCAGCGACTTGCGGTTATTCGAAGTGTCCATGATGCAATCGCGGTCAGCAACACATGCAGGAGGCATACGTTGAGCCAATAGCGGGAGCAAGGCGTTCCATCTCCTGCTTCGTTTTTGGGCAAAGCTAGCCGTGAGCGCTTGACCTCTTTGGGCTCATTTTGCGTAGCGAATCAAACATCTGGAGCTCGGCGCTATCGCATGATGGTCCCTCCACGGAAGCGGAGCAACTCATCCTCAACCACAATGTTTCTAAACTGGGTCCAATTCAATAACAAGCATTGCGGCCGTAGAATTTTGCCGCAGTTTCTCGAACACAGACCTCTTAGGTAGGACAAACGATGGGGTCCCTTTGTAGGCTAGTGTTGCGCATTGCGATGATGCGGATCTATCTCAGGATCTGTGAGGAGAATTAGGAGAATGTATATAAGGATGAGAAACGGTAGTTGAGAGGATATAGACAACAGCTGGTTTTACATCTAAAACAATCAGACCTATCGGCCCTAGAATTTGCTCTACGGTTGATTATCTCAATATAAATTACACTTTCACAACATCAACATGGCCGCACCCACCCGCCCACCAAAGAACGGCTTCAACATCTGGGTCCACAAAGTCTATAACTCCATTGGCTTCAGTAAAGCCTACAACTTCGCCCTCTGGTTCATCTTCGCCGGCGCACTCTTTGGCTTTTCTCTCGCCCGCTTCATGTACTTCAGCTTCGACGGCCATTTCTGTCCTCCGAATCCTCAAGGTGGAGACTCAGCGGCGCCGGGAGAATGCTACTACTACACCACTTTTACGCGCGACAAGATCGGCATCATGCTCCACCTCGCCGGCATCCTTCCTGCCAGCATCCTGGTCTGTTTCCAATTCACGCCGTTCATTCGTCACAAGTGGATCATCATTCACCGTGTCTTAGGCTACCTTGCGGTGCTATTGTACACCGTGGGCCTTGTTGGCGCATTGATGATCGCACACATGGCTTTCGGTGGAGGCTTGGACGTGCAATTATGGGCCGGGTTTGTAGGCATCGGTGTGTTAGTGTGCTTCATCTTGGCCATCGTCAACGTCAAGAGGCTGCAGATTGAGCAGCACCGAGCGTGGATGTTGCGGGGATGGTTTTGCGTAAGTCAATATTGTTGTTTAATCTGTATGAGTCGATAATGACATCCCCCAGGCGGGCTCTATCATCACGAGTCGCTTCATCATGATCATCGCGGCGACGATAATCTCAAACAAGGGCCACTACATCGTGTGGCCTTGCGCAAAGATCGCCGCTACAATCTCTGAAGATATCGACCTCGTCTCCGCATATCCTGCATGCGCGTCATACGCAGATGGGAGCAAACTCGGCCAAGTCTCAGCAGTGCTTGCAGACATGAACGGCGCATCAGCTGCAGAAGCTGCCGCAGCATTAAACGTAAGCTTTGGTATGGCGCTATGGCTCGCGTTTGCGGTACACACAGTCAGTGTTGAGATCTATGTACAGCTTCCTTTCCACGTCACTGATATTCGAGCGCTAACAGATTCGCAGTTGCATCTGACACCCAGGGAGGCTGAGCGCTTGAGGCAAGTCAGCTACACACGACAGCTCGAAGCTGGTAAGCACAACCCTGGCTCTGCTGGTTTGACAGCGGATCGTTTTGGCGATGCGAAGCCGTGGCTTGCTGAGGGTAGGATTCAGAGCACGATACCCTGATGACGAAGCTGGACGAGTACGAAGCGACAAAGTGATGGCTTCGAAGTGGTACTGCACTTATATCTTGCTAGATCCTATAGACTGTTTCCTCATCACGTCTGCTTCATGACTTCGTTCCATCAATGAGGGACTCGGCCACGCAGTTGGTAGGCCCTTCTGACCGGCTAAGCTCATACGATAGTATGCTCACGCAGTCCAAACTGCTTGAAGTCCTCCCACTTTGCTCTGGGACCAGAGTTATTGGCGTAGATCATGTCGTCATATGTATTTCTTTGAGTAATATGCCTGTGGAGCGCACAACATCAGAACAAAATTACAGCTCCTCTTTAGATATCTCCCGAATACTGCATCACCTCTCCCTTGAACGCGCCATGAAACCCAAAAGCCACCGGCCCTGGTACTTCCGCCCTCCCCAACTCCACCAGATCCTTCGCCCTAAGGACAAGCAGATAACTCCTCTCCATATACCCATCCAACACAACAGCCAGTAGCACGCCCTCATCCTCATCCTTGCCCTCGGGATCCGCTACAAAAATCGGCTCGCCCGGCGTATGTCCCTCTTGCTCCCAGATTATGCTGGTTTGCGTCGTGTTGTCGAACTTAGCGATGCCGTCCATGAAGGAACTCTTCAGGCGGTCAGCGCAGCCGTATGTGTAGCGGTGGCGGTTTGTCAGGTAAAGAGGATTTATAGTAGGGAGTTCAAGTGAAACCGTCTTATCAGCTAGAAATAGCCGTTCTGCATTTCTAGGCTTAGATGCAGGGGTTCTGGTTGAAACATCTGGGAGACGGAATTGTGCTTGCATCGGTAGAGATGAGAGACGCTTCTTGCCCACGTACTTTGACTTGGGGTTTAGCGACGAGAGCAGATTATCGTAGTAGAAGCGGTGAATTACGTCGGTATTCTCGAAGAGCGAAAGTTCGGTGATGATGTCTGTTCGGGAGGGGTCGGTGGAAGATGGCTCCTCCCAGGCGTTTACGCTGTGGAAAGAGAAGAAGGCCGTGCTCTCGTAGATGGCTACCAGACCGCGCTTGTTCGTGCGGTCGATGACGTACCACATTGCTTTGTCTTTAGGGTCGAACGGTGCGATGGCCTGGACCACGTTTTGGTGGTACAGTAGAGAGGCACCGTAGCTGGTGTAGTGGGAGTTCCATACGCACAAAACCACATAGTTCTCAGTGAGGAAGAGCGAGTGGATGTACGCTGGTTCTCCGTGAAAGGTGGCAAGTATGTCGGTCTTGCCAGTTGATGCAGATGTGCGGAAAACTCGATAGGTGGATTGACGAGCGCAATCCAGATTGTAGTTGAAGATGTCACCTGTTCTAGGGTCGGATTTTGTATGAGCTGCGGACAGCGAACCCTTTAGTTCAGGGTGGAAGTCTTGCTGGATCGTAGTACCTTGAGGCTCTAAAGTCTCAGGATCAATCTTCTTGGTCATATGATGATCTGTCTTTGCGTGTAGGGTCCGAATGCCATTGGTGTGACCATTGGCAGAGAGCTTTCCCTGACCAACGTGGTCGCCTCCGGGCATGTTGATCGAGAGTGTCACGCCCACGTTCTTGTTGTCGCGCCGTGGTGGCACGAATACGGCCATGACCTTCTTGAAAAAGCTCTCACATGGATCTCGTTTCGAAGCAAAAGTAAGACCCTCTCCTTTCCCAGTCTCGCGGACACGCTCAAGGTACTCGTCCACGGTCCGGCGGGACCGATAGCTGACTTGCGCTGGCTTGCCCCTCTCGGGAACGTCTATTTGAAATCGATGCACACATGAAAACCCATCGAACCAGTGCGCGGCTGCAAACTCTTTGCCAGTCTTGGTCTTCGCCTTGTAACCCAGTGGGCCCGTCCGGTATAGTACGCCAGCGGCATAATGTGGAATGTCACCTTTGACGTCCAGCTTCACCGGTTCGAGCTCTTGGTAGGCTGTATCGAAACCAGAGTCGTTTGGCCAGGCCACCATTTGTGATGAAGCCCTAGAATTGAAGTGGGGAGGAGTTTGTTGTTGATCCTTGTCGATGTGAATGACAGTAGGGTGACGAGAGGTCGGGATGTAGTTGCCTTATTATCCTCGAAGATATTCTCAGAAGCCCATCAATGACGGCAATATTGGGAGAGAATATGCCGTTGCAATTATGAGTTGGGGCTTGGTGAAGTAGATGGTTGGCTTCAGACCTGCATCTGCATGCCTCCTTAAGATACTCGCGCAAAGGCTGCAAGCCTGCTAGGCGGGCACTATATTAGACCGCACTGGAGATGGCTCCGCGTCTTGTTAGCCGAAGTAGGCATGCGTGCAATGACGGGAGGCGGCGTTGTAGCGCACGTGTAATCGCTTGCCCTTGTCGCAAGCCTAGCGAGCGATGTAGGACGACATGCCTATGGTATCCATGTCCAAATACATCCGTGAGGGTGTAGACGCGCGTTAACGATACAGAGCGCCTTAGGTTTCGGGCAAATCGATGATGGAAGCTCGCAAAACGTGTGCTTGTAATGGCCATGCTGCTTCGTCTGCTCGCTTACGGCCGCAAACACTGGTTTTCTCACATGTTTGCCAGATACAACGGCCGTAGAGGATGCTAAAAGCGTATCTCTCGGACGCAGGGCTTTTCAAGGGGATGTTCGCGCAACCAGAGGGCTATAAGGATTTCCATAGCGGTCGCCGTACGTCTGGATTCGAATGGACGGGACGACTTGTCCGCATTAGGAAGACATTAGCGAGTACAGCCCAGAGCAGACTCTTGGGCGATTCAGCTCCGTCGTGCGGAGAGTGTTCGCTTGATGATGTGGTTTTCGTGGAACGTGGCGGCATGAAGCGGTGAGTTACTTGCTTGGTGCACATAACCTCAGGCGCTCTTGGAAGCGTCGAGTGAGGAAGTGCACCTCACGTGGGCGTGAGCGTGACTCGGGACAAAGGTGGATCAAGACTGGGAAGCCGTAATCCTCTCGATGCAGAACACCTGTCAGAACTCATCTTGGAAAAGACAGTGTTGAATATGGCGTTGTTGCATCCATGATGGCAGTACTTCTTGGAGACAACCGTAAGCCTGTGGAAGAGCACACTAGCAAATAATTGTACTAGTTCAGCCCTACGGTGCTGCATCATCAGTGATACCGACATTTCGACTATCACCCCACAAAACCACAATTGGCACGACTGTAGCTCGAGCCGCAATTTCTAGCTGAAATACCAAATACTACGGCCCCCACCTGGACGCCGAGTTCGCGAAACATTACAAAGTTTGCGATATATCCACTTAAAGGGCACGAAAGCCCCGCAACGACAATGGGAGCTCTTCTCTCACTCCCTATCACCCTCCTCAATTTCCTCCTACCATTCACCAAACCTGGCACACCAATCCTCCAAGATCTGATACATACTATCATACTCTGTGGCACGCTCTACTACGCGCCCCAAGTAGCAGAATGGTACAACACACGGCAACTGGGAAACACAACGGACGGCGCAGGGCGGGATGAAGATCAAGACCAGAACCACGGGGAGGACGCACAACAAGCCGAGCCGTACGATACAAGACAAGAGTCACAGAGGCACCACCAACCCGCCTTCCAGCCCCAAATCGAAGACGAAGACGAAGCACCCATACCGCAACCCGGCCCCCTCGAGCCCCCCGCCCCCCAACCGCCACACGCAGAACAACTCGTCCCCGACGAAGGCGGAGCAGGCCCCGCAAACGAGCGCCCGCGCGCCACACCCGCGAACCGCGCAATCGGCGCTAAGAAAGCAAAGTCGCTCGCCCGCAAGGACCAGCGGCGCGCATACCACGAGTTTCACCGCCAGGAAGCTGAGCTACGCCGCTTGCAAGACGCCGAGGGGCGGGATGAGCGCGAGGCGGCGGCGGCGGCTGAGAAGGCGAGGCGCGTAGCCGCGGAGGCGGAGATCAGGGAGGCTGAGAGGAGAGAGAGGGAGGAGGTTAAGGCGCAGAGGGGGAGGGAGGCGAGCGAGGAGCGAGGGAGGAGGGAGAGGGTTGTAGAGTCTGTCCGGAGTCAGCTTGTGAGCCGCGGTGCAGCGGACTTGGCCGAGGCAGCGTATACGGAAGGGAAAGACCAGCTTTGGGTCGAGAGGCTGGTGAGGGCGAGTGGAATCTTGAGCCAGAGTACGGCGGGGGAAAAAGTACTGATCACGAGTCAAGGGTGGGTGGTCAGGGTGGACAAGGAGCTAATGGAGATGGCGTATAAAGAGGCTGAGGAGGCCGGCGATAAGCGGGAGGGCAAGGTTGAGTTCGGAGATTTTGGGGAGATGCTGGAGAGGGCTGTGAGGGCGAGGGGTAGCCGTTGAGGGTGTGTGGATCGAGAGGGACGATACCCAAAGATGAATGTTCATGAGATACGAGTCGACGATACAAGCATGTACATAAAAACCAGATCCGCGCGAATTCAAGTCAGACGGGTCAGCCACAATGAGCATGGGACACTATCGTAAAATGATTAGTTAGACATATCTGAATTCGTCATCTCGTTATGTCGTCTAATTAGATCTGGTACTTTTAGCCTGTCCATACGGCGCGGCGACGTCGTCCTGTCTCATTCCAAGCACACCCCTTGCGTACCGCACATCACCCAAAAAAGCCGCGATGAAGTGGTATCGAATTGTCCATTTTGATCATGCAAAACCATGAAGGTGTTTATTCGCCTAGAGAACCGTTGACAATGCATCAGATCCCCCGTACCATAGAACCATGCCAGGATAAAAACTCCTCCCAGACACCCATACATACACCAGGACCAAAACCGTTTATCGGTTGGACTTGGCGACACGCTCGAGCTCGTCCTTCTTCTTGATGGCGTACGAGTTGGAGGATCCCTTGGCGGCGTTGATAAGCTCCTCAGCGAGGCACTCGGCAATGGTCTTGACGTTGCGGAAAGCGGCCTCACGGGCACCGATGGTCAGGAGGGCAATGGCCTGGTTGACGCGGCGGAGGGGTGAGACATCGACGGCCTGGCGACGGACGGTACCGGCGGAACCGATACGGGTTGAGTCTTCGCGGGGACCACAGTTGACGATGGCATCAACGGCGACCTGGATGGGGTTCTGGTCGGTCATGATGTGGACCTGCTGGCGTTAGCCTCCCTTCCTCCTGTGACCATGCATGTTTTGGACGTACAATCTCGAAGGCGTGAGCGACGATGCGGACAGCCATGAGCTTCTTTCCGTTGTTGCGGCCGTTCATCATGAGCGAGTTGGTGAGGCGCTCAATGATGGGGCACTGGGCCTTCCTGAACCTCTTGACGGCATAGCGGCCGGCGGAGTGCGATGTGTAGACAGGCGAGCGGATCTGGATGTAGTCGCTGGAGCATCAGTTAGCCGATGGACTTCGCAGCAAAGCTATCTCCCCTTCCCCGGGTGCCAAAGTGAACAGTTGCCAAAGACGAGCGCCAGAGACAGTGTCAATGCAAGTTATAGTGTTCGATGTGCGCGCGGACGGACGGGGGATGCGGTTCAGGTAACATACGTGAGCGAGATGTCGCGGACCTCGACTTCCTCGTAGGACCACTGCGCGCTGTCAGCTTGCGTTCTGTGTGCGGTGCGAAGCGCAATGCGCGCCCACGGTGCGTGTGCAAACCTTGTTGAACAGCTTGATGCTGCCAATCTCCTCGGTGACCTCCTTGGGCAGGACGGGGTAGCCCTGGCTCTCGACCTCGATTTCGCCGTTGTCAGACATGATTGCGGTTGCTGATGTGGGAGGGCTGGATGGTTAGTCGGTCGAGTCGAAGCACTGAAATCGTCAAACGACTTTCGAGAGGTGCGAGATTTAGAGCCACTGTGCGAGCACTAGCGCACTGGGCTGGTCGGCCAATGGCGTTTGAGGAAGGTGTGGACCGCTAAGCGAGGAAAGAGCAGCCCGGACCTGCACACCAACATCAACCGCGAACTTCGTACACGACTGTCAGTGTGCCTTTGGAATGCACGATGAATGATTTTAAAGAGATCAATTGAACATTAAACAACAATCGTGCTATGCAGACTCCGCCCAACCGTGGTATCTACCCCGCCGGCCTATCCAAAACAGTCAAACTATCACTCAACGCCGTGCCCAAGACCGCTGAGGCAGAGCAGCAACCCAGAACGCCATGCAATGCCGCTCAGCAAGTCGTAAAGCTAATCAAATGCGAAAGTCTCCATCCAGAAAGTATACATGCTTCAGAATCTGCCTCGACTCTGACTTCGGCCTACCCTCGAGACCGGTGCACTGATGTCTCGCCTCTCCTTCGTGCCCTCGAGCATCTGCTTCATCGGTGTGCCGTGACCTTCAGCCATGCTGCGTGCCCTGCCACGTCGTTCGCGAATGGCCTGAAGTGCCGCCTCGCGATCGAAAGGGACATTGTTTAGTTGCAGCTCGCCCAGCACAGGTGTGCGCCCGTTAGCCGCTCCATGACCGATCGTGAACGGACTCATCAATTGCTTGCCGGGTCGCGGCGCTGGAGTTGCTGGTGAGAATGCAATGGGGATGGTGGTGGTGGTGGTCTTGGTGACATATGGTGTGCCTGGTCCAAGAGCAACTGGTGCGGGAGGCTCCATGTCCTCATCACTTTCGTCCTCGTGAATGGCAATATCAGCGCTTCTGCTCCTCTCTTCTGTCTGATGGAATGCTGGGGCCGATACAGGCCCATATTCGAAGGCTGCGTCTAGACACACTAGCTGGCTGCGAGCATCTGAGTAGCGTGTGGTGGACCGAGTCGAGTCTCGACCCGACTGACGAGAAACAGAGCGCTTAGGCAGAGCCTTCAGTGGCGAAGGGATAGACTTGAATGTACCAGTTGTAGGAGAGAAAGCGACGACTGAATCCAGCTCCTCGTTCTGCGGCTGGACAACGACTGTGTGCTCAGATGTCTGCTCTTCTGGCGGTGGTGTGTATGGTCGTTCAGCACTAGGCTCATCCTTCACAACATCCATAGCATCCTCTCCGTTGTCACTCGCTGGAGGAGTCAGAGCGGGGACCGAAGCCTTGATGGCCTCCATCTGTGCTGCGTACCTGTCGTCGTGAATGTAAGCCTTACTCTTGTTCTCAGCAATGCGGCAAGAACAGCACTGGAACTGGCATTCCATCTTCATGAACTCGATCTGGTCTTCCGCGCGCGAGCGGTACCGCCTCTCAGCTGCAAGCTCTTGTTGCAGGAAGCGCAGGTCAACTGCGGACTTCCTCGGCGATTGGTTCTCTTTGTCTTCGTCGTTGTGCCGGATGGTACGGGGCTTACGTGGAGAGCGGACTGGCGATCTGAAATCGTCTTCTTCGTCGTTGGTAGCTGCAGGGAGCGCTAGCTGCCCCTCAGCCGCGATGCGCAGGACCTCCTCCTCCTTCAAGCTTGTCTTCAGCGCATCACGCTCGCTCTCCACCAGCTTCAGACGATCCTTCAGCGTCAATATCTCCTCTCCAAGATGTGCTGTGATACCCTCCAGCTCAACTTCCATACTGTAGAGCTGGCCTTGGTACTTGGCGGCTTCTTCTGTCTTGAACCTGACATCAGACTCGGCCCGCTTGATGTTGCGTTCCAGCCCCTGAATCTTAGCCTGGAGCGTGGGAACCTGACCAGACTTCCTCAGGAGCTCCTTGTCCTTCTCCATGTATCGCTTCTTGTATTCGCGGTTCTTAGCCTCGAGGTGCTTATTGTTGTAGTCGAGTTCGCTCTGCGTATCATTAGTGGGAGCCCAGCGATGCAGCCTGATTGCGACGTACCAGCTTAGCGTTCGACACCTTCCAAGCCTCTTCACGTTCCTTGAAAACCTTCTCCCACTTGGCTACGTTGGCCTTGTGTGCTTTGCGTTCCCTCTCGAACACGTCTCTTGAAACGGCTATGTCGAGCTCCTCCTTAGTGGTCTTCAGCTCGTTCTTGAGCTCTTCGATGCGCAACTCCTTCCGGCTTGCAGACATGTTGTACTCCTTCTCTATCTTGTCGAACTTGGCTTTTTCCTTGGCCAACAGGGCCATGTACCTGTCGCGAGCTTCTCGCGGATCCTTAACCTCGAGAGTCTCGAACATGGTGGCCAGGCCGGCAACGGATACCTCGGAGTCGGTTCGTCGGTGCGATGATCGTAGTGGGGAGCCTTCGCGCAGCGGTGATCCTGATCGTGAACCTCTTCGTGTAGCTGATGGCGAAAGCACCACTGAGTCGCCCAAAGATGTCTTGGTGCGCCCTGGGGAGGTCGGGAAGGCAGGCATGCTAGGAGACATGGCCAGCTTCGTGGGCGAAAGCGGGAGAGAGGGTGGGTCCATCTTCTGGATGGGAGATTCGTTGAGGCGCGCCAGTATGACGGTAGGTATGTTGGTATTTCTATTCAAGAAGTGTGCGCGTTCGCTGTATGCAATATGTTCAGGCAGCTGCGGTGTCACCAAATGTGTTCACGAAGTTCTCCAGGGTAGCCGCAATCAACAAACGCAAGCGAGGCAGCCCCTTGTCCCTAGCAACGCGCACAGGGCAGCAACCCTGACGTGGTTCCCCGACGTCATGCACTACCTCCCTTGATCTTTGTCTACTGCTGCAAAACTACGATCGTGTACCATTAGAGGGATCAGTCGCATTTTAGGTGGTAACAGTTGTGCCAGGGGGCTGTGGGCCTCAGCGCTCTAAATCTGCACGACCGAGCTCTTGCCTCAGCGTGTGATCCAATTTTTCGTGGATGGACAGTCTCTTCATCTCCCAGGTGCCGATCAACCCGTGGACTGTCTGGAGCTAATGTTGCAGTGCTGCTGGAAACCAGCCTGCCAAGATGTTTCTGGGCCTTCTCATATCTGGGGTCGACTGGAATATACCTGTCTCTTCGCCTGGTTGCTTCGCAAACTCGCAGTCAGAATTCACGACGATCAAAAGGTCATGGGCATACCAGGACACATAATCGTACTACCGTGGTCTACAATCTACTGGAGCCGCCTACTTGTGTTCCGAGTCAAAGTCATGGTCCTTAACATAGACACTGATTTCTTTCTGAGCGCATAGCTCCCTTTGCCTTCACTTCAAGCCAGCCTTTGTTAGTCATGCGGTTCATTTCTCGATTACGGATGAATCTTTCTCGCTTCCTCTCGCGTTGTTTCCACTGCAAACCGGTCCCTCCAGACTCTTCTTTGCCCACCTCCACCTCTACCATGCCCTGGCAATCATGCCTCGTCTGCAAGGAAGAAACCTCCAACTACTGCAGGTACTGCGCGCAAACACACAACAACGGAACGATAGTCGGCGCACGTTTCTACTGCGATATCGACTGCAGAAATAAGGACGAGCTGGAGCACCTCAAAGTCCACATGAACGTTGATTGCTCCACGCCGCTGAATATCGAACGCGCAGGGAAGGCGGGCAGGATCGCACAGTCGCTATTCTACACGTTCTTAGAGAACACATGGACTTACGATATGAGGAAGGTGAGCATCAAGCGCGATCAAGATCACGATCTGGTTTCAGTCGAAGTCACCGACGGCGTGGGTGTAATTGCATCTCCAGGAGGCCACACCGATTGCAAGATCTACGCAGGCGGGTGGCTCACTAAGTTCCCGGTCGAATCTTTTGGCACTTTCGAAGACGATGCAAAGTATGCGCTCTTGACCGACCGCAGTTCCATCTGGGCGTTTGTGGTCATGCATGCTGCAATCCAAGCTCTTTTCCAAGGCATGCCAGAAAATACCCCCTACCTTTCAACCTAAGCTGACTCCGCCTTAGATCTAGTGAACGACGTCCAGACCGATATCAAGGAAGTCGTGCACTACCCAGTCGAGAAGGCCTCTCGCATCGTTCATGCGCGAGGTATCTTCGGCTCTGACACAAGGCGCCACGACCAAATGTACCCAGACCAAGATGAGCGAGGTGACGTCAAGGGAGTGTACGAGATCATGCTCAAATGCGGGTCGAAGATCGTGCTGGATCTCGCAAGCGCACAGTGGGACATCCAGGATGGCAACGGTGCCCAGACACCTGTTACATTTTGGCAAGATTACTGGTCCCGCTGGGGCGCAGCTATCAAGTACCGCATCCCATTCCGCAGCCATGCACTTAAGCACGCCGCAAAGATGAACAACTATCGTGTGGTCACCTCTCAGACCCTGATCATGGAGACGACCGTCTACCTCAACGTCTTCATGTCAAACGCATGCAAGGTTGAGCTCGATTTTCATCCGCGCGAGCTTCTCGAAATGGACAACGACACCTACCGGAACGCAAAGCAGCGCTTCCTTGCGAAGGCCACGATGTATCTCCAGAAGCGCGCCATTGGGCTCGACAACGGTGACCACCGCAACATCTTCAACGCGTTCGATCTGCATCACCCTGAACTCATCGCAGAGGGACCAAATCTTCGGCACAAGCCCAACGGCTCGCTTCCACTTGACATAGGTGACATGGCGAAGTTCGACTGGAAGGCGCTCAGCCGTCTAATCCAGCAGCCAGCCTCGGTGGTCTCTTTTAAGGAAAAGAAGCGAGCAGTACCGCTTAAACAGAAGCGCAGTGTTTACAAGGAGCCTGGTGCATGGCAGCTGGTCTTCCTGGAGGATACGCTCCCTGATCCCAAGATTCCTGTGACGTGCGTCAGTGAGAACCCCGGATGGAAATTAGGTTAAGATGACGGATCTCCACGCATTTGGCATCTGTGACGTGCCAACGCTCGATCAAGGAGACAGATCGATGTGCCAGAACTAAAGGCATTTGTCGTTTTTGTTGAGGGTAGTCCGTCCTTGACAAGACTATTTTAGAGCAACTGCATGTACATACCTGACTCACTGGCGCATTGTGGAATTACTCGTTGCCTCGTGTAATCAGTTCTGGTCATCGATAATATAATTGACATCCACCTTCCACACTTGATTTGTCTTCAATCACCATCTCAGTTGGTCTTCTGCACCGCTAATCTCACAGCCTCACCACCACTACCGCCGAATATGTAGCTGATTGCTTGTAAGATGCAAATTACCAAGCAATGGGAGTGATGTGGCCGTCCAAAGGCAGTGTTGTGAGAAGAAACAAAAGACCTCTCCTTACAGCATAGACTGTAGCTGAACATGGTAACTTACAGAGGTCTGCATCTACAGCACTTCTTACAGCCACAGTGTTATGAGCAGTTTGAGCAAGAAGTCTCCTTAAAAATCGCATTTGACAAGCTGAGCTTCCAATCTGCAGACACACGCAACTCTACAAGTACAACTACCCACCAACACACTATCTCTATCATCAACACCCAATCCCACGATCCAAATATGCTCCGCCAATTTTCCGCCAGCCCTGCCTTCTCCACCCAGGACGGGACCCAGCCCTATTTCCGATGCCGTAAAAACCGCAGTGTGCAAGAATACTACCGCAAGGGCAAGGTCTGGAAGGGTTGCAATGAGCGCTCAGCCAAAGACACCGCGCGGCGTAAGAAATAGACGGCCGTCGCTACTATTGCGCCTTATCATCATAATGCGGCATTAGAGCAAATGCTCCAACTCCAGCAGCAATATGCCGAGCTTCAGTATCAGCGGCAGGTCGAGCAACAACTGCGACAACAAGAACAAGGCGACCCGCGAATGGCGCTCAATTTCCTCAGAGACAACACAGATGGCTATACACCATCGTCACTGCAGTCGAACGAACAATCGCGACGTCTGATTCACCAGACTCAGCATTTTTTCGATCCACAAATTTTCTCTCCTGCTTCGGTAGCCGAAAAACCGGTATCTCATCAGAACCCGCAGACAGAGCTGTATTTTGAGCCTTTCCAAAACCATCCACCACAGAGCATGGCTGGAGTCTTCGCAGAGGACATGCTCCCAGAATACGATCTCAACCTCTACTGCAACCCCGGTTCCTCGGCCAGTGCACATCAGTCGAATTTCTTTTGCAACTACAGCTGGCCAAATCTGCATTTCGATCCAAGCTTTGAGTCCGGTTTTGAGTTCACATCCACAGAGGTTCCGGCGATTGGCTTCGATCAGTGTCTAGCCAACGCGTCAGCTAACGATTGCATCGAACTTCAGAACAACGATGATGGGTTCGATTTGCACCTATGCCCAGCGGGTCAGATTCGATACTTCTAGATCCTCCCAACGAACCAGATATACCTCTTCATTCCTATGCTGGAGCTCCTCCATATGCCTCTTTAAAAGTGGAAAATTCGATGAACATCAATGTGATAGACTTAGGTCCATGCGTCTCGCAGGACTACAGCTAGAACACAAGCACTGTAGCTCCACAAGCTCAGTTTGAGGCGCCGGTAAAGCCAGTCTGCAAGCCACGTAAAACATTCATCGCTGTCAACCTCGACGCTTACTTTGCTGACTACAATGCTTCAGAAACATCTTCTATGAGCCGGCTACTCCCAAGCATGACCTGACAGGCGGAGCCTTGGCAAAGCATCTGATCCGCCAGATTGGTCTTGCCGCACGCCTTTTAGCTTTGCACGACTATTTGTGCAAGATACGCAACCCCAATATGTTCGTCAAGCAAGTCGTTGCTATGGTCCGTGAGAAGCAGGATAGGATGACCATCCCTTAGGGCTCTTTGTCAGACTGGTTCGCTATTTACGAGGGCCAATACGAAGACCTCCTTGATCGCTACGGGCTTGGAAGCAGCGTCTTCTCGATAGATAGCCTTGACTGGTAGGTCAAGAACAAGTTCAAGGCTGAGAAGATCGTGCTAATGAAGTCGTTGAAGGATGACCTGGGCAAGAAAGGTAAGATGCTGATCCAAAACAGCGTGTAGGCTTTGCTCAAGACTATAGTCGAACCTACTGGACAGCATGACGTCCATGTAGTAACCGTTGCGCTGAAGAAAAAGCTTCGCCAAATAAAGTTGCCTAGGCACTCACGACTGTTAGGTGAACAGGCTGCCATGGGTTCCATGTCTGGATTCTGATCGTCAGTCAGGGAAGAATATATAGTTTGAGGATTTGAAGGGCTTGTAGGCGAAATATACTTAATCTGAATGCGAACATACATGAAGAAGCATGCTAATGGCCATCTGATTTGATGATGTTCTCAAATCAATTATACCTTAACAATGCTGTTCTCCAAGTGGGTCCTTCATAAGCTGCAAGTGTGAGAGACAGCAGTACGTCCGTACGCAGAAATGTTCGTGAACTGACATCGGCTCGCACCTCTTTTCCTAAGCTAATGTTCAATCACCCAGCTTGACCATCTTCTATAAAAGCAGCACCCCTCATCGCCGTGAACCATCTCTTCCTCGATCACAACCAGCCCACTGACTCGTCTTCCACGCCATTGACGTTGAGGCTGCTCGCACGTGCCTTGCCAATCGTTAGAGCCACAATGCCGCCATCACCGCGGGACGGGCACCTATTCCGCCCACCGGTCTCAAACCCGAACAAGCACACCCATCTCAAACGGAAACAATCTGGTTGTGGATGTTGATCGGTGGACGTCATGCAGCCCTGAATCCTCCTCGCCAAACCCCGCCTACGTCACCGAGCAGACCCAGGCTTTGCGTCCGAGAGCAACTAGCGCCGACGATCTAGGGATCTGCGAGTTATGCAATTTAGCAGGAGTCGTGCAGGACGTTGTAGTTCCAGTATGACAATGTGTGAGTTGGAAATGGATCGAAAATCTTCAGGAACGCTCCGGTCGACTCTGGAAGACGACTCTTATGTCGATCGCTGGTTTTTGAGTTTCGTGGAGATATGGGTTCACGTCGCGTCTGCGTCTGCGTCGCCGGGCTGACAGCATGCAGAATGCACAGGCATGTGTCCCGGTGGTGCGTGCATGTAGAGGTCCTCGAAGGCGAAGTCGTTCGGGAAGTATAGATGCGGCTCTGCTGTGAGTGTTGTTTTTCACATTGCTTGCTTTTGAAGCCCAATACGAAGCGCGTGATTGCGCGGTCGAGTCCCTGTAGGCATCGCAGAGTTTTTGATTTGACGTGTTTCGAGATACATTGCGGATGTTTGCTTGCAGAGTTCGGGCATGCATGAATCTGCCCGTCGGGATCAGCACCCACGGCATCGCGGACCAGCACATGGTGCGCGGGAGCCTAACATTAGCATATCCAGTGACATCGCATTTTTATCAACGACCATACGGCCGGCATCGCTGGCGCAGCGCGGCAATACGAAGACAATAGATCACAGATGTTTTTAGTCCAGTCTGCCACAGGAGCAACGCTGAATCTGGTCCTGTCCCGACAACAACAGTGAAACAATCAGTTACCAGCCCACATGCATGGCAAAAAGAAAAGGTTTCTGGTGAGATAATACTCCCGAATCCGGCCCTGCAGCATCAACATTAGCTGCTTGGCGCAACTTGCCGCGCGATCCAGAGCAGCGGTCTGAAGGGCGCTCTCCCGCGTCGCTAGCTTCGCCACGCATGGGCTGGCAAAACTCTGCTTCAGCCCAGAACGTCTGACGCTACACATCTTCAGCTCTCCACAGATCGCTAGTCGAGCGTCTCCAGCCCGCACGAGCGTGCTGGAGATAAGGTATGGCGCTTGCGCAGGCCCGCGCTGGGGACATCCCTGATTGTCGAGACACACCACCTGACGGGATGCAGACCGGCGTGCGCGACGAGGTGTTGGGCGTGAAGGGTTGGGTGAGGTGTCTTGGAAATTTCGACAGGAAGGAACAGTCTAGGTGCCGTGGCTGAATCCTCGAGCATGGTCTTTATGTTTGAAGCTGAACGGCACTGACGTGGCCAGAATTGCAGCGTGCAAACTTTCACAGTATAGATGATGATTTTCTATATGGCAAGGACTATCAGTCCTCGAGTGGGGAGAAACTACGAAGGGTATAATGAAGAGTTGTAGATCCATCGGCGTTGTGGCGTCCTATCGCCACAATGCAATGTGTCACTCCCAGTGAGACTCCCAAACGCCCGCCATGCCAATGTCGCACACTGCGCCAGAGAACCATACCAGTATGAGACTCTCATATGCAGAGCCTGACAGAACAGTAATGAGATAACCAAGGTAAGTGTAAGATGCGTGAAGTTGTGTTATCATCCCTCGAAGATCGATGGCGACTCCGACGCCGTGGCGTAAGTCAATGCTTTGGCCGAGTCATGACTTTTGGTTCTAAGAAACGCCTCGCAAAGAGTTCCCGAAAGAAATCGAAGATGTAGGAAACTTCACCTCGAGCTCTTTTCGCGCAGTAATGATCGTAATTCGCTTATCGGCGGAAGATGTTCAGTAGACTCTTGCGCTTAGGCATAGAGTGCTTTGCTGTCTTGCTCTCAGGAATGGGCGGAGGAACGAGGTTGGTGCTAGGCCTTCTGCTGAACCTCGACATAATCGGCTCAGACTGTTTGTGGTTGATGCCCTTGCTGGCAGGCTGGGTGGAGGAGTTCTCCTGCAGGCCCTTCTCGTTGACTGCTATTCCGGAATCGAGGGGACCAGGGCTAGGAAGCGGAGGGGTGACTGTTCTTCCCTTGGTGTTAGCCTTGGAAGTCTTGCGAGAAAGCGTGATGCTACTCTTCGCTTTGGAGACACCAGATCGGCGGGAACTCTTGGTCATGTTCCTCCTCATGCCTGTCTCCTCAGCTTGGGTGCGCTCAAGGTTCTCGATCTCGCCCAAGATGGTCACTCCGTTCATTGCGAACGCCTCCTCCTGGATTGCAACAAACTTGACAATGCCGCGATCAATCGGGACGCCAATCGACTCCGTCATGAAGTTCTGGATCATGGCGGCATTGCGCTTGTTGAGTGTGGGCTGCAGCTGCACGGGCAATGCGTTGATGGTGAGAATGTAGGTCGGTTCGAAACTACCGCCGAGCAACAGACATGCTGAGTGGTTGACTGTTATCATAATCGATGTTTCAGGCTTCTGATAACGAGTCGACAGGTGGTGTGAGAGGTCGGTGACAAGGGTGTATTCATCCTTGATCTGTGCGCCGATTAGCATGCAGAAAGAGTGGACCATCGTGGAGATTAGCAACTTACAATTACGTTCGTTCTCAACTCTGCAACAATTGGCGCATCCTTTGTCACACGGTCTCGAGCATTGGATGTTGTGCCATCCTTGTAGGAGAATTGTTCTTCGTAGTACTGGGCACGCTGGCGAGAGTAGGGGCGCGCGATGTTGGCACCAGCGGATGTGGCAGGCCGTAATCTTGAATCGTCAAACGTGGGTGCGTCGATAACTGATCGCGGCGACGATGTGAAGGAAAGCTGCGATGGCGATGTGAGTGCCTGGGTGTCGTTGGTCTCGGGTGCAAGAAGGGTGGTGGCGCCAGCCTGCTTGGGAAATTGATTCGCGTTGACGTTCGAGGCCGAGTAGGTTGAGGTGGACGAAGGTCGCGACATCTTGGCTCCAGTCGACGTCGAGTTGTTGACAGAGTGAGGCATGACGGGGTGGTGAAGGAATATAAAAGGATTCAAGGGTGTGACGACGCGAACTGTTTGTTTGGTCGGTGAGGGGAGCCGCAAATTCCTGAGGTGTATCCCTAGGGTTGGGACTCGCTAGATATGGATGGTAGATGGTTTGTGCCACCAAGAGCGCTGATCGCAGATCGAAAGTGTTATCTGTGCGTGAGACGGCTCCTATCAGGGTTTGGTGGTCAGACGGCGGCTACCTCACTCAAAGACACGAGACCTGTGAGAGCAAAGTTGGCGGAGCGGAGTGGTGATGTATGGATGGTATGCAAGCCAGATGGTCAAGGGCAGGCTGCTGTTATGTAAAAGTCTCGGTTGCGTGCACACCCCGCAAAAGGCAAGAATGAACCACAAGAGGGTAGGGACGGCGCTGGTGAGTGCTCCCGTAGCGCAACCAACTTGTGATATATAGACTACACCAGAGCGTTGGTCTGGTCCAAGTGCGCAGAGCTGTGCAACCGCTTTGGGAACCAGCGAGCAGGGGTGTGTTTCCATCACGCGCCTTTCGCTTTCGAGACATGCATAAGTTGGGCTATGTGCGGCCGCCCTTGTCTGGTTTGCTGGGATGAGGACGCCAAGTGCCCGCGCCTGCTCCGCCATCAACGATGGCACCGCGGTCGCAGCTGGCTCAGCAGTCTCGCGCTAACTTCGAGCGCCGAGTGAGATGGCCAACTTCAGATCGCCATCAGCCTCCATCAGAAACGCCATCAGCATTTCGCCAGCTGCACAGCTGCAGCTATCGCTGACCGACGGCGTCCGCGGCTCACCACTCACCAGCGCGTGTACTCAATATAGCTCTCCACTCGTCAAAGAAAACCCGAATATCTGTACCGTCCAGCGGGCGCCTCCAGTCCCACTTGCACTCTGCATGCAGCTTCACGTCCGACATGAGAACTGCCTGACTCTTCGGAGCCACGCAACACACCGCTGGAGGTGCCTCCTAGCTTCAAACTAGACTCTGGCGTGTCCATTCCTTCGCGCACCCCGCAAACTTCGGGACAAGACTGCCCTGACTGGATTCGAATCATTCGTATTCGCCAACATGGTCTAGAGGTCCCTGGATTTCGACAGCCGTAGCCGTGCGTCTTCTTGCAATCTGGTTGTTCTTGTGTCTTGCCCTCCAGCGCAGTAATCTGCCACCATGCAAGCCAACACTGTCAACAACACTGTTGCATCCAGATTCGCCAGACTTACACAGCATTGCGGGGCGCTGTTGTCCTCCTTGATCATTTCTCCAGATTGGTTGTGTTGCACAGCGACTGTCAACCCGGCATCGAGCCGAAAGTTGAGCACACAAACAAGAACAACCGCCGAGCTTCCTGCCGCCAGTGATGCCACAGCTTTACCACAAGGGAGCGCCTGTCCGCTATATTGAGGAAGGTTGCGGCTCCACACGCGTCACCATCAAGTGATCCTGCGGTCGTGAGGATCCTACTGACCCATTAACCGGTGATCATTCATCTCGCATCGAATGCATGTGCTAGTCCACGACCCTCCTCGAAGGCCTCGACTGCCGTCTTGATAGGAGCTGGTGTGGACATTACTGGACCACTGACACGTCCAAAAGAGAAGTATAATAGCAGGTTACAGTAGTCCCGATAAATTGTCGCTTGTCAGCATCTGTTCATGGCCTCTGAACCATCGTACTTGAGTGGAGCTAACTGGGGTCAAAGCATCGATTCGAGTTTATCCTCCAACCTCGACAGAAGCCTTTGAGATAGCAGAAAGAGGACGCGTTACTGCTATCACACCAATTTGAGCACGGTAGCAACATTCAGGACTTGTTTATTGTTCAATCTCAGCTGGTTTGTTCGTACCACTTGTATTGTAGTACACAGTACGGCACCACGCATGTCAGACCCCTTTCGAAATGAGTTTTGGATGCGCGCTGCAGTGTAACGGCGCATCCAGAGTGATACTGTACTGGCTCTGCAGTCTAGGTGCGCTCCTACGTCGTTCTCCGTCCTGCAGCGGTTGGATGTGCTTGTGTGCATACATCGAGCCACCGCCGTTATTGAACCTGCCCGCCTACGCCCGTTTGCGCCACAAGCGTCCACGATCGTGCATCTGAACGCTTGCAATAGGTAATTGTGGATTCCTGCCACAAAAGCGTCAAAAGCAGATTGTTGTGCCGAGATATCCTGACGGGATAGCCCGCGTGTACGGTAACGACGCACTCGTGACAGACGGCCGGCGATGGTTGTGACAGCTTGACTGGCGCATTGGTAGCTGCAGCAACCTTCGAATGCGAACGGAATCTGAGCTAATAGCGACCAAGGAGGCAGTTCATCATCCTCGCAATTGCAGACTCGAAATAGAAAATGGCTAATTAAGGGCGAACGTACATTGCTGACCCGCGATCCTTCAACGTGGAGGCGGTGCTTGGATTCGCTGCTCCGCCCCAGAATCAGAGTCAGATGTACATGTGTGGCGGCAGCGTCCGTTCTCCATGGGGGTCATATGATCCTGCGCCGAGGCACTTCACATGTACCTGCATCCAGTTGAAGGCCCTGGGCTGGAAGCAATTGAGTGTGATGCCAGAACGGAAAATCTCAGCAGCGTCATGAGGTCTGCAACGGACCAAATAGTCGTGCGAGGCAGATACCAGATCCCAAAGGTGAAAGAAAATGTTGTTTTATTGTTTGGCAATGACGATGCTCACGTGTGGGCGCGTTGATTCCGCGGCTGCACCATGAGCGTTCGTTCTCCACCACAACTCCAATCCGACCTCGAGCTCACAATGCCACCCAAAAACGCAACTGCGAATGGTGTGACGCGCAAAGGGCCCCAGTTCAAGCCTCTACGGCCTGTGAAAGCAACAGCAAAGGCGCCAGCCAAAGTCTCGACAGCTGCATCACGCGCGATAGGCGCGTCGAAGAAGCCCAGTGCTCTGGCTGCCAGATCTGGCTTCCAACCAGCAGCAACAATTATATCCTCGGACGAAGAAGATGCTCAAGAAGACGAGTTCGATGACGCGCTTAGCGACAACCTGATGGAAGACGCGCCCCCACCAAAACCCACGAGAATCGTTGAGCCGTTGACAACTGCACACCCAATCCCAGCGCCGCTGCTTGCACGACTGCTATACGAGAACTTCGAAGACCCGAACACGAAGATACAGAAGGGCGCGATGACATTGACGGGGCTTTACATGGAGATATTTGTGCGAGAAGCACTCGCTCGAGCCAAGCATGAGCGCGGAAGGTCTGCGAAGAACGATGGCATACCAGATGGCTTCTTGCAGGTCGAAGATCTGGAAAAGCTTACACCGCAACTGGTGTTAGACTTTTGAGTGACGAGGTATACATACTGCGTTAAGGAAGTACATATCCTTGCCCACACAAGTCGAGTATGACGCTCAGCCGCCAAAGACGCGGCCTGCTGTCGACCCACGGTTACTGGCGAAACAGCGACAGCCATTTTTGGATTACTGGGCAGCTGTCATGTGTCAAAAAATACCCATTTGGAGCCCCAGGGCGTTTGCATATCCAGCATGGTTTCGCTGCAGAAGCTATCGAGTGAACACGGTCTCATGGATGTACGACACACCGCAAAGCGCAGGACGCAACTCAATTGGAATGTAACAATGGCGACTAGAATGCACCTGGTGCATGAGAAAGAAGACAGCCTCGGGACAAGGTGGAGAAGTACAATTTGGATAATTCTACAATCACTACACGTTCCAACCTTACCTGCCGTCAAGGTACAGCTGCACAATTTGCAGCGCCTTCGGCATGATGGCAAGACACTGTGCAGCCTTTCTAATTACATCAGGAAATTCCGCGTGTCGCCCACGAACGGTACTAAGATCTCCGGTGCCTAGGCGTTGACGCTGCTCGGCTGCACCACGCTCAAACGCGTCTGGAACAAGGAGTGCTTCGCGGGCTCAACACCCAAGCTCCAGCCTCGCAGGAACGCCATCATCGCGCAACAACACCCCTCTCAAGGCATCATTGCAGCGTTGAATTCTCAGATCTTTAAATTCTCACATTATGGAGTCGTGCAACTCATTCAAGGCTCTTCACATATGTTTGCAGACTGTGCAGCTCCGCTGTTAACAGTCTTTGGTGTTGCGCGTTGTGAGCCTCATGCAAGGGCTCGATAGGCTGAAGCACGAACAGCTTCCAGTACGTCGCAGATCGCACTTCTTGTGTCGGAAAGCTGCTAGCCGCCACGAAGCGCAATCAGCGAGCATTTCGAAGCCGTCTTCAATGCCTTAAAAGTACCCATATCCACTCCTCAGGCTCACCTTTTCTACTCCACATCTGTCCTGCTTCACGTCTGTCGCTGTGTTTCTTTCTCTTCTTTCCGTTCATCTCACCTCTACGGCCTCTTCAATTCTTAATATCTGGCTAGTCCAGCTTACAGAGCGCTAGTCGCCTGAACCACTCCCTCCATCAATCGCATACTAGTAATACACCAAGTCGACTCAAACGAATACCGTCGTCATGTACTTCTCGAAAGCCTTCATCGTATCCGCCCTGGTTGGCTTCGCAGCGGCAAAGTCTGAAAAATCGTCACAATCTATCGCAGCTTCGGAATCTCTAGCTGCGACGGCAAACTCCACAGCATCTGCACCTTCGACATCATCGACATCATCATCATCATCATCATCATCGATGTCAGGTAGTCTTATTACACATACCATCCAGGTCGGCGGGGCGAACGGGTCTCTAGGTTTCTACCCAAACAACGTGAAGGCAAACGCGGGAGACATGATCCAGTTCCAGTTCCACCCAAAGGTACACCTTGACAGCTGTGGCATTACAAGCAACACTATCTAACTTCGCGCAGAACCATTCCGTCGTTCAGTCTACTTTCGACAACCCATGCGTACCCATCCAGAACATCATGTCCAACCAGACGAACGCTTTCTTCTCAGGCTTCATGCCCACCACCGCTGCTGCGAACTCGACATCTCAGCTCCTGACATACACCATCCGCGTCCCCGATAAAAAGCCTATGTGGTTCTACTGCTCACAAGCCAAGCACTGTCAGGCTGGTATGGTTGGCGCCATCAACGCGTACGTACACACCTGGATGCACATGATCGTCATCAATCGAAGTTAACACACTCTCAGCCCTGAATCCGGCGCGAAGACCGTGGATGCATTCAAGGGCCTAGCTGCCCAAGCATCCGAGAACCTCAGCCCTGGCCAAGCCTCTGGCTCTGGCTCTGGCTCTGGCTCTGGCTCTGGCTCTGGCTCTGGCTCCGGCACCAATGGCAGCACCGGCACAGGGACCACATCGCCCTCTGCTGGCTCATCCGGCTCAGCTACATCCGGTAACGGCACATCAGGCACGACCACTGGCCCCGCGCAGAACACTGCCAACGCTGCACCTGTGCTCATTAGCCAGTCTGTCTTCAGCCTCGGTGCTGCTGCACTGGCGGTCTTTGCCATGTGGTAGAGGAGCGAAGATGCTGTTTTCTAATTTTGCGGCCTTGCTGAGAGTTCCCGGTTCGACGATTCTGTGATACCACTTACGACTGAGCTGGCTTTGGTGTATGTTTACGAGGCGTTTGTGTAGGTTACCAGCCCTGTGGGCGACCACCATAGACACGACATGGCGGAAGTCGTGCTGAAATGATATGTAATACTTCTCTCATCATTCTGATATGCAATTTCGTCGCTTGTTAGTGGATTAGTATGTTGTGCTTCTTTGAGAGTGCATGCATACCTAAGCGTTTCTGACATGCAGAGAGTTGATGGGTGCGGACGCCCCACACTCGTCACCGTTCATGTGCGGCCTGCATCCTTTTTACACCACTCTGTGCAATACTGCAGCGAATCACAGATGCATCCAGCACACCCCTCGGTACTTGCACAGCTGCAGTAGGACGCTGCTCTAAGGTTTAAGAGGGTAGCTGCAAGCGATGCGGGATGAGATGACTTGCAGACAGCGTGGCGATCCGGTGCAGCCTCACGCTCCAGCAGAGAAGACCTGATCCACGGAATCTGGCATGGCGATGTCTGAAGGTGACTTTTGGAAGCGCATAGGTCTACAAGACACGGACAGAGCGACATGTATCGAGGCCATAACGAATGTCTGCGATCGCCACCACGTGGCAGAGTTCGAATACCAGGGGTTTTGCAGCTTTACATTGCTGGTATCTCTACTGCGACATCACGAAAAGACTGAGAATGAAATTCACGGCAGTCGCAATGATGCTACGACTGAAATGGCTGAGCAAGCCATTATCCAATTTCGCCCTCCTCAACATGCGCTCGACCTCGACGTGTCCTTGGAGGCTAGCAGGATATACCCTTCACTGGCGCCCAAAGCTCGGGCTCTGAACATTCGCCTGCCTGGAGATCTCTGCGCGTATGAGTTGGAACGACTACCGGGAACCCCACTGTCTCGACTCCTACCACGCCAGCTCTTACCCGGGCCCGGACTACAGGCAAAGCAGAAGACCCTTATCTCAAGCTTCGCCCGGATCGTTGCACAGAGCTGGCCGAATATGGCAAGCAGGAAGCGGAGAGACAGCATTCTACGACCAGACTCGCCTGAGATGGAAGGGCAAGCGATACTGTCACTATGCACAGGGAAGGTGGGATCTTGCATAGCGCAGAAGCTCCAGAAGCTCGCTCAAGGACTGCCAGATGAACGGCTGCGAGAGAAGGCAGCCACCACACTGCAGAAGATTCTCGCAATGGACATTTACCCCGTGGTGTTGAACCATGGCGACCTCATACCCTCAAATATCCTTGTGGACGAACGGACATGGGAGATCACAGGGCTTGTCGACTGGGCCGAGGCTGAGTACCTTCCCTTCGGGACGTGTCTGTATGGTCTTGAGCATCTGCTTGGATTCTTGCAAGCACCATCACAGTATTTGAGCCGGCCAATTTTCCTGTTTTACGAGGATGCTGCAGTATTTCGAGAGTTGTTCTGGACCACACTGTCCGGTCTCGTATCGGAGCTTGGAGATAGGCATGACGATGTGCGGACGATGAGAGATCTGGGTATATTACTCTGGCACGGCTACGCTTGGGACGATGGCGCGGTTGATCGTGTTGTCGATGAGGTGGCTGATGTTGAAGAATTGGCGAAGTTGCGCGCGTTTCTAAGCATGTGAGGGTACGTTGCTGTTCAGACGTCTCCCAGAGCTCTTTCAACTCCATTTCTGCTAGCCATACTGTGCACATCAAACGCACCTGCCTCCTCAAACGACTGCATGTTGAGGTGCGACTTGCGCCTTCCAGAAGTGGGCGTACCTTCCCAGAATACTCAGGCAACATCCAATTCCGTAGAGCTTCCTCTGTATTTGTTTTCGTCTCACATCCTTCCTCGCTGCTCTTCACCTCACCGTACGCATTGACACGAAAACTTTGCTTGACCCTACATCGCGTCCCACCGCCTCTAATTGCGAACCTCCAGGCGAAAACCACATACTCAAATCGTCTTATCAGTGTCAGTAGGTGCTACCAGTCATTCCATTGGTGACCTTCACTGACAGATCCAGGCGAATGCGACAAGCTATGGTTACCACACGACGGAGCGGTGTCAACGCCGCACCAATTCCCTATGCCCTTCCGAGACCATCGAAAAGGAGGAAAATCACAGTCGACGAAGCAGAGCGAACGAGGGAACCTGCCAAAATACAGCCCTCAATCTCATGGACTTCATCCAGGTCCATGGACAGCACGGCACAGAATCGACCAAGCAGCGAGTTGAGCGAACTTACTCTCACCTCACCATCTAATAGGAGAAAGGCTCATTGTGTTCTGCCTGCCACAGCGTATCAGCCCAAGCAAGCTCCAGTCAAACGATCGACCGAACAGATCTTGGCTGCTCTGAAGAAGCTTACCACGCCTGGCAGCTCTCACAACCCGATTGTCTTACTCGAGGAATCTCCTCCACCGAAAGTGCAGCAGACAAGCAAAGATCCCAGCAAAGTCGAGCCACACATGTTTCAAGACAGACACAGCAAGATATACATGTATAATACCTCACGACCTGCTCTTGCACCGAGACCAGCCAACGGCAGTACGTTCACCGGCCACCCAGGTCACGACATATATCGCATGCGTACAGCAAAGACAGCAACACCAGGGTGGCTTACGATTGGATCTCAGCAGCTTCGATCGGATGTCCCACTCCAGGCGCAACACCCCATCTCTGCTCGCTATGTAGCACCGCAGCCAGGCACTGCGTATGCCTCAGCGAGGCCAATCGTCCCGTACACTCCAGCACACATGAACTACCCAGCGCCAATGCCACTCAACGAAGAACAGCTGCGGAGCAAGGCTTTGCAATACGTCCGGGAGTACTCAAGATCATCATCTCGAAAACGGAAGATGGCAGAAGACCCCGACGAGACCAGCGAGTCGGACTCTACCGAAGTCAAAACCAACACTGCACCGCCTCGCAAATCATGCTTCAAGCCAGTTGCCAGTGGCCGGGCCAAGTTCCAGAGCAGACCGGTGACCATCCTGCCCGATCCTCACTTCCAGCTCTCGCCACTGATACAGCAAGCGTCGCTCCTCACGTCACTCCTGCGAGTCTACCCCCGATCAGCAGACCAAAAGGGTATGAGGGAGGACATCGCCATGCTTGCGTCGATACAGAATCAGCACCTGGCTGACTGGCTCAACTTTGAAGTCGGGCAGTCTCGAAAGATGGCGAGTCCACACACGCCCCGCGTGCGCAGCGCCGCTGCTGTGTTGCCCGGTAGACGAGCCCCTCGCGCTGTCGCGGCTGACGAGCTTGTGGAAGCGGAGAAGAAGAGGAAGCGAGACGATGAGGTCCGGCGTCTTCTCTCTGCTGGCGCGGAAGTGTGGCAGGATGGCTCTGGGCTGAGCGTGGCGGATGTATTCGCAGACGACGCAGTTTGCACACGGGCAGACGGGGGGGATTAAGCAACGAGCTAAGGGAGGTGAGGGCCGATGTGTGGAAGTAAAGGGGCGGATTATGTCGAGGGTGTTGTACGAGACCGGCTTCAGATGAACACTTGGCTAGCACACAACACAATCGCACGTGACGGTCTATTCGGGTATCTGAACTCTTCCAGGCATAACAAGAGCCACAGCGACTATTTTCCCTTGTTTTCCCTCTTACGACTAATTCCCCTTGTTCCCCCTCTTACCACCCCTCTTCTTCCTATCAATGTGCCCAGCAAGCGTCTTCTTCACATCGCCCAAACTCCTCTTATTCTTGCTCTTCGCTTTACCAAGCGTCATGAGGAAATTCTTCTTCCTCGCCTTCTCCTTGTTCGTCGTGCTCTTGCCCTCGGCCTCCTTCTTGGCCTTGCGCTTCGCCGTTGTGCTCTGGTGCGTTGGCTCGCGGTCCGCTTTTGCGAGCGCGATGCGCTCTTCCTTTGTTGATTTCTGGCCGAGGCCCGAGGCGGCTTCAATGTCGGCTGCTGTTATGGGCGTGTCTGCGTGTCGAGCTGCGAGGGCAGCGAGGCGCTTTTGCGACGGTAGGTGTGCGTTGATCTGCGCGTTGGACTGCAGGTCCTTGAGCTGTTTTAGGTCGGCGGGGGTCAGAATTGTGGTGGTGAGGAGTTTGGCGATGTGGGCTTCTGTCGCGGCGGGGTCGGCGGGCTTAGGATCCGCCGTCGGCGCGGCAGGCGCGAGTTTGGCTTTCTTCGCCTGGGGCGCTTGCTCGTCGTCCGAGTCGGAGAGGTGGATGTCCTCGCCGTCGCTGGCGACGTTGATCCAGCCTTCCTCGTCGCTGTCGCTGTCGCTGTCGAGCTCCCACTTGTTCCAGTCCTCGGCGTCGTCGAGCTGCGAGTCGCCGTCGCTGCCGTCCGGGTCCAGACCTGCTGCGACGCGCTTCTTGCGCCGCTCGTCGTCCTTCCAGGCCGACAGTAGCTCGATGCCGGCGATGCCGCCCGCGGCTTCCTCGCCGTAGCGCTGCTCTTTGATGGTCCCCGCGCGGATGCCCATGGCGGCGTCCTTGCCGCGGTCGCGCTTGTGCAGCAGGTCGGCGCCGACTTCGCGGTACAGCGAGAGCAGGCCCTTGGCGGCCATCATGGTGCCTTTGTCTTTGGATTTGCGGTACTGGATGTGTTAGTGAGAGAGAAGACAGACGACAGACGACAGACGACAGACGAAAGATGACAGACGACAGACGACAGACGACAGACGAAAGATGACAGACGACAGACGACAGACGAAAGATGACAGACGAAAGATGACAGACGACAGACGACAGACGAAAGATGACAGACGAAAGATGACAGACGAAAGATGACAGACGAAA